GCCGCCGCGCGGCCGGGCCCCCGCCGCCCCGGGGCGCGGCCCGCCGGTACGGCCAGTATCATGATTCAATGATTGAGGGAGTCGGTCGGCCCAGCCGGACCCCCACCCGGACGGTGAGTGGCAGAGAGCCTGACTGTACAGTGCCTGGCCACAGTGTGCCGCAGTGCCTGTCACAGCAGATCCCAGCACAATAACAATGCGGGTGACCATCTCTATACTATCAATGGTAACAAATTGGCTTGTATTGCAAAGCAGAGAGAGACTACTTCAAATGTACAAAGTCTGCATCCGATGATCTTATCACAAGAAGCAACGATATTACAGAACAAGTTTCACACTGTCAATCCATCACTGAAACAATTTCAAAATTTCAACCTCGGGGAGTCTACTTTGCTTTCCTCCGATTTCTCCTGACTCCTTTGCTTGTATACGGCCATTTCAATACACCAAGTTTCCTGCAAACAAGCTTCATCGTTGACTTGCCCACACCCTGCCCAGATTCATCAGTGCACTTCAAGGGGAAAATGATATTCAGGGAACTCACAAGACTTTTTGCAGCAATTTCCATTTTCTCATGAAAATGTTGTTCAAGCATGGTTTTGTCTATCCTTATGATAGTCTCAGAGTGACCTTCTTTTCTAGTTCTAACCATAACAACATCTTCGGATTCGCCATGCTCAACTCCAAGAGTTGAATCCTCAGTATCATGATCGGCATTGGATTGTATACTTCCAGATTCAGAATGCCTGCTGTCTTCAAAGATGTCTCCACAATTGAACCCGTCTTTGGAATCCAAATCTTCAATCGGGACATCCGCGTACGCCTCTTTCTCAACAATGTTGTCCAGCAACGAGAAGTTCCAACTCTCACAAGGAGCCTGCCCCTCACTGAAGAATTCTGACATCGTGAGATCACTGAGAAGGATCGTGTGAACAATCAAGTACACTTGATGGTTTTGTTAGCAAACGTGTGGAGCTGAGTTTCTCCGTGTGCGTTCAATCATTCGGCGGATGGTTGACTCTGTCGGTGGCCTTGCGTCCTTGGCCCCGTCGTCGACTGTCTTGATTTGTGTATATATCTGTTATTATTTAAACGATCCGTTTTTGAAATGTTTGATATCCTCAATGACAGTCGTAAGTCCAATACTCTACTTTTCGCGGGGATTGAGAACAAAGAGCATACCAAGAAATCTGTTTTGGAAGGGATTTGGTCAGCAGTTGCAGGAAAACAGTCGAACTGCAGGTTGGCGGGCTGCAGTGGCTGTCCCCTTCCGACTACCATGCCACCCCCACCGTACAATACTTCTGTCGATGTACCGGGTACCTCACCGTTCTCACCGTCTTTTACTCATCGTGCCATGACCGTCGGTCGTTTGGCCCTCTCGGATGACCGTCCCAGGGGACGCATACCGGAGTACTACTACGTGCGGCCGGGCAGTGACTTTGTGTAAAGAATGCCACTGCCTGAGTTTTATCAGACGCGGGCAATCAGTCGGGAGACCGTTGAAACGGTCGAGCCACCGACTCGTCGGAGGCTTCCGAAGTTCGGACGGGCCTGACTCGTAGCTGACTTCATGACAGTGATTCAAGAGTGCAAGTGGCAACCGGCGAGTTTGAACTACGTCAATTAACTTTTACTCAAAGTTAAGTTAAAAATCAGTACGAGGATAATCAAGAGCCTTTATTTGTGCAGACATGACAGCCGCTGATGAAATGATGCTCTTCGCTTATCAAACGATTTTTCGTGAGATTGACGAACTGTACGAAGCACTCCTCAAGGATCATCACCTCTATATTCGATGATCTCAGGAATGACCCAAGAGTATGTTCGGTGAACATCTCATGTCTGCTCAAATTTGCAGCCTCTTTGAAATCCTCAAACACGCCACCCCAAATCCACCTCGTCAAGATAAAAGCAGCAAGTCCCGACTCGATGACATGGACGGGCGGGTCCTCCGGTCGGACAGTGACCGTGGCACTCCCGGCCTCACAGCCGTAACAGGAGTGAACAGACTCCATCGCAACGATGAAGCTAGTTTTGTTTATGTACCCCTGCTTGCCGCGCGGTTAAGACTTGTGAGTGCCACTGATCTGCCAGCGTTGCTTATTTCATGGTGGTATGTCGAGTCCTAGCTAGTGCTCAATGACGGTAAACATGTGTACGGTCTGAGCTTGTAACCGATGAGTACACATGGTCGATTCTAGCACTTGACGCCATTCTTGAATTCAACCAAAAATTCTGGGACGAGGATGTCTTTGTGGACATATCTACGAGCGAAGGTGGACTTATCATTTGCTTCTTCGTTCGGTAGTAGTCTCCCCTGAAGAGCTCGTGACCTCTCGACCTTCTCAGTTGGAACGGGTTGACAGAGGAGCAGAAGAAGGCAGCAAAGGTCTTGGGGTACTTCGATTTATGCGCTGCTTGCAGATGATGTGCGTTGTTAGGTACAAGAAATCTTCTGGGAACAAGAACCTGGATGTCTCGAGCGATACTACTGCTCGCATGATGCCGCCATGTCCGATACCGTAGAACGGTGGATCGTCTAGGAACGTCCGACTCTGGTTCAGTCACTGCAACCACGGCGGTGAATCTGAGTTGCAACTCCTGATTATCGAATTCAGTCAGAACCGATCGGAAGGATCCGGTGATCCGGCGGTCTTCGACGATGCCAGCCGTTCGTGACTCAGTGCGTGCGATCATAGTAGATTGACACCCGGAGACACGCAGCCAGTCACAGCGAGTGAAGGAAATGAACGGCTCTACCAGCCATGAGTGTGACAGCTATCACAAATATCTATTAGTAATGGAATAGTTTGCTCCGTTCAACCACTTGTGTCCTCTCGAGCTGCAACTGCCTTGAGATGTCGCGAGCTCGTGACGATGCATATTCAACTTCTCGCTCCCACGGCCGGAGCTTCATTCCCCCCGCATCGCACTGACTTGACGCCACGTCCTGTACCTCATGTTTATGGTCCACCTTGTCGTTCACATGGTTCGCGATCAGATTCCCCACGAGCGCAAACAAGGCGGTCAGGTTGACCTCTCTTTCCTCGTCTGCCAGCGACAGTTTGACGTCTTCGAGCTTTGCATCGCCGGGAGTGAACGACGAGCACGAGTTGTGGCTGGCTTTTTCCTTCCTTCTTTCACGCTTCTGAGTACGTCTGTGGCGCTGATGCCGATGGGCTTCTTCCATATCAGGAGAGGAGAGCTGATCTTGGCCGAGCCACTCGCTGACCTTGTGGATCGAAAAGCTTGCTCCTCTTGGCCGCATGTGCCTGATACCAAGGTCACCACCACACATCAAGAGCGCAAAGATCGTGACGCAAAGGTTGTGACGGCATGGTTGAATGGGTTGGTGTGAGGTTACAGGATGAGAGGTCACTTAGAAGTGTATATGGTAATACAGGACATATGCAAGCAAAGCAGGAGGTCGAGCAGGTCGAGCAGGGAGAGCAGGGAGAGCAGGGAGAGCAGGGAGAGCAGGGCCCGGAGAGCAGCAGCTCTGCAGGAAGCAGGGTCAGTGAGGAGGAGAACAGAGGATATTGAGACACAGGTTGGTCGAGGAGCTCACAGGATCGTAACTATTGAAATGCAAGGATTTCAGCCTGCAGTAAAGTGATTCCCAAGGTGCAAGGACGGGGTCAGTTTACTGAGTTGCGGGGGTCCTGCAGAGGTCCGGGTGGTACGTTCCCCGACAGTACTGTCAGCCGGTTTACTCCTACACTGAGTAAAGTTGACTGGCCCCTGGGCGTGACTAGTCTCAAAGTTTGCTCCCAGCGGCGAGTCAGTAGTAAACAAGTCTCGGACTCAGGTCACTCTTCACTCAAAGTTAAGTTAAAGTTCAGTACGAGGACAATCTTTTCGCACGCTGCCAAACGGCGAGAAGCGAAAAGACAGCGAGAACCAAACCTAATCCTGCAACTGCTGTCCCCCAAACTTAACTGATACCTTCACTTTACTGCGCGCAGGACAATTCCCCCGCGCCATGCCAGCGACGTCGCTGTGGCCGCCGCCGAAGGAATGAGACGCATACCGGAATGCACCCGCGATGATGGCAGCGAAGGACAGGGAGGCCTTGAGCTGACGAAAGATCCTGGACCGGATGCGTTTGCAATTCGGATCACCTGAGATGTCTTGCGAGGCCGAGAGACCATCCAGCGCTGCCGTTTCCCTGTTCGCCGAGCGATCCGCCAGCAAGCACAGAAAGTGCAACGCATCATCCTGCAAGAGTCCATCAGTGCAGGCGACGATGGGAAGAAAGGCCTTTGGCGGGACGTGCTATGCATATGCGTTACGATGCCCTCGGATCTTCCTCTGTGCTGCTGCTTGCAGTTTACTCCGAGCAAGGTCCGGTATCCCATCATTGTCAAAAACATGTGACATGATGATGACGGGTAGAACTTCAAGTTGCCGCAAGACCTTGATGACCGCGTTCCAGTAAGTAGCCCGCGGCAGGGCCGCCGCCCGTCCTGGTATTGGTTGAATTGTGCATCGCTGATTCTCAAGGCAGGCAGTCGATGAGTTGCTCGAGATCAAGATGATATTGAAAGATTTGAGGAGAGGAGAGAGGGGAAGAGGGGGAGGGAAGCTCAACTCGCTGCTCCATCTCATGCTGGTGGATAAAGAATGAAGGAGAAGGACAAAAAGACAAACTTAGATGCTATGCACTCCATCGGGTTGGTCCTTCCCATGAACGATATCAAGGTAGTTGTTTGCTTGGTGCTTTCCCCGCACATAAAAATTTGCTCATCACTCCCTTGGATAGATGCGAAGGTTGATGTTGAGGGGGAAGCAAAAAGCAGCTCTAAGCTTGCTGAGCCCCAAGTGCGTACTTGTTCCGGCTCCTGCTTATCGCTGCCTGATCTGATCTGACTTGTGCTTCCTCACCTCCTGCATTGCTGCAGAGCAAGAGCAAAGGCAAAGATGATTTTTAATGAGCAACAGGCTCGTCTGCTTCGAAACAATTGCCCGGGTGGCTGACGGCAAAGTGGCAGGAGCAAGAGGAGGAGCTGCAGTCCTCAACGTTTGCAAGGTGGAACTTCGGAACGAGTTTGGACATGGGCTGTTTGATAGGTTGCAACATCATAGACTACTGTGCTCGACTCACTTGTCCCCATCAGTTCCGATCAGGCAGAGTCCTCCACCAGCCAGATCCCCGTAAGGACCAAGCGTCCTTTCTCAGCCTCAGCCAAGCCCAAGTCCTCACATGCGTTGGCATCAAGACTTCGGCTTCGACAGTGGCTTCAGAGAACGCCAGCTTCGATAGGAGAGATGAGACTACCTCTGTTGACGTGGCGGGATGGCACGGGACAACTGGGCAAGATCTTGAACATGGGAAACAAGCACTCGAGTTCTCTGCTGCTCGCGAGTCGCGGACCTGGCGATGGCAGCGATTGGGAACGTAGTCCATACAAAGGAGAATGCAAAGGATGGTCAGGTGACGCTCTGGCTGCCTCTTTTTAGGTGAAAGAGGTAGAAGAGGAGATTAGGGAAGAAAACGTTGCTGGAGAGAAATGCGTAAGCAAGACTGAGACCATCAGGATTTACACAAAGACGCTAAAACTTTGAGACTGACATGCTTTGAATTAATATGAACAAACCTCACTGATGCAGACAGAGAGTCTTTTATGTTAGTTAGGTTTATTAATGATACTTTTTCATGCAGCTCAACCACACGAAAACAAGACAAGGAGCTCATTGGCACATGCTCAAATATGCCCAGGCCTCCCTTGCCTTGCCCATCGACATCCGTGATGATGCACGCATCTACTGCAAGGGTTTCCTGTCGTCACACAGACTCCTATGATATGAGGCTGTGGAGCCTGCGGTGGCACCGCCATGGGCGGCTGGGGAGCCTGCGGTGGCACCGCCATGGGCGGCTGGGGAGCCTGCGGTGGCACCGCCATGGGCGGCTGGGGAGCCTGCGGTGGCACCGCCATGGGCGGCTGGGGAGCCTGCACCACCATGGGGACGGGTTGCCCTTGGGCAACGTCGTCAGACTCTGCATTACTGCCTGCCTCGTCCTCATCGTCTGTTGAAGGAGAATCATCATCTTCTTGATTCTCTTCCTGAGGCTCTGGGTCAGAGGAGGTGGCCAGTTGACCATCCTCCTGGTAGTCAGGCAGGACTACATAACCCTCGACCAGCTGATCTTCGGGAAGATCGTGCTGATCGTGATCAGGATACACTGCTAGGTATCCTTCAACCAGCTGCTCTTGTGGGGGATCCCTTAAGCTGTGATCAGCACGGAACAACAGCAGGATTCTCCTCAGCAGCTCTGTCAGCATGAACAGGTTTGTACACTCGTGCTCCAACTCTTGGGGGAGTTTTAAAAAGAGGGAAGGGGTTATTGGTAGGTAAGTAGGGGTCAAAGCACAGGGAAATGAACCGGTGTTCGCGAGTATCGAGTACTGTGTATGAGGGAGGGATGGGTACTTGGAGGGGGGAAGTGGGGGTAGGTTGAAGATAAAGGAGTTTGTGGGATTGTGTACCCACCCGATCCATGTAGGATTATATCTCCCCCACCATACTATCACTACGGAAGATGCATATAAAATGTACCCCACCCATAATGATCGTACCAACAGATGAAGTTCTGTCGACCACATACTATTGCTAGTTTGTACTTCTTTTTCCCATTTCTACATATATGCATTCAGTGCAATAGTACGGTCAGTATGCACACGAGATATATCTATTATATTTCTCAGTTTATATATTTACTTGCGGCACGGTACGGTAGCTCGCAGGACCGTCGGACCTCACTCCGAGGCTCAGCCTCAGCCGCGGCCGGCTGCCAGGGCCGGCGCACCGGCGGGCCGCCGGGTAGCCCGGGGGGAACCGGCACGGCGGCCCGGCCGCAGGCCGCCGGGGCCCGGGCGGCAGCCCGGGCGGCTGTGACTCAGCTGTTAAGCGGGGATGAGGGTCACTCAGCAAGCGTCAGCCGTTGAAAGGCAAGACGAGAAAGGGAAGAGAGAGGGGAGAGAGAGGGGAGGGAAGGAAGGGAGGGAGACAGGGGTGATACAACAAGGCGCTACAGGCAGCAGAACGATGGAGAAGAAGCACTTGACCTACAGCAGGAGGACCATCCGACCGGATGGTGGGCGAGACCCTTCTGTGTAAGTAGAGGAAAAAAGCTTGTGACGTTAGCCCGTGAATGACCTGCGGGTTTTCTAGGCGGGTGATCAGGAAGGAAGCGCATGCTTCTTCGGTGAAGGGCTTCGAGACAGAAGGATCAAGAGAGGCTGGTCAGTTCTGTCCTTCCGCCCCCTACCTCCCTATGCTAATGTGAACCAATTGTGGATAGTGCGGTTCTACATGAATGCCGAGAAGAAGGCGTTGGAAGCGACTGAGCGCGAGAAGAAGATGATGGAAATCCTGCGTGCAGACGAGAAGAGCCGGCAGGAGGTGCAGAAGCTTCTAACAGTTTCACTGGCAACGTGAACTGACCCCTTGGTGCTCTCAGTCTGAAACCAAGATGCTGAACCGTTCGCTAGGGATCAAGATGCAGGTAGGAATCATGCGCATGCCTTGCCTGCCCGCTCGCTTCTCCATGGCATCACATCGTGACCTCGCCTCGAGCGTTTCGTCCTCTAGCGGGTGTTTGGGTGGCCCCCGTGACCTGCTGCTATTGGAACCAGCCACCTGCCCCTCCAGCATGGATACTGATGGCCTTGTCTTGTCAGGAGTTCGAAGAGGAGTGGCTTCACAAGCGGAAGGAGATGGAGACTCACTGTGCAAGCCTGCTGGAGGCTGTCAATGTAACGATGCTGCTGCCTCCTGCCACCCCCTCCTCATCCCCACTGGTTCACCGCAGGAGAAGGCTGAAGCGCAGCGTCATCACTTCGAGGAGCACGTGGCGGCGGAGAGGGTGAGGGAAATGGTGGAGGGAGGAGGAGGAGCTGAGACTGTGCCATCAGATCCCTCCTGTGAAGTTCTCCCCTCTCATACGAGACATGATCAAACAGGGGAAGAAACTCGCGCAGGTTGAGTGGGAGGGGATTCGTTGTTCAGCTCACCTTGATGTGCTTCCAGGCTGAGATGTACAATGATGTGCTGCTGCTACACAAGAGAGTCGAGGTAAGTGAAAGTACCTTTCTCAAATCTTAACTCTATCCCGATATTCATGATCATCATCGTTACCATCTTTTTGGTCCTTTCACCTTTTCATAATGAATTCAAATGTTACTTTACTATTACTTTACTGTTGTAGTTCACTGCTTGCTGTCCTGATCTACTGATCTTCATTCATCTCCTGCTGATATCGTGAATGTTTGCAGGCTGGAAAAATGCAGGAGGAGGAAAGTTGGAAGAAAAGTATTCTTGACAAGCAGGTGAGACCTGGGGGGGGGTGTTGGAGGCACTCGAATCAGCCTTGTGTCGAAATGACGTAATGTAGTGATGATGATGATGATGATGATGATGATGGAGATATTGAAGATGAAGTTGACCATGTCATTGAGAAATGTTTTGATCCGCGGGTTTGACTTGGGCGAGCAGGAAGTGAGACGCAAACAACTCGAGCAAAAAATCGCCCAGGAGAAACGGAATGTAGACGAGAAGGTGAGGTGACTTACGATGAGATTGATATTGATCATGGTTGTATTTGTCCTTCACTCTTTCCCCCTCTCCTTCTTCTTCCCCTCCTCCCTGCCCATCTCCCCCGTCCCTTGATCGCCCCCTCCTTCAAACTCTCCTTTTGGTCCTCTCTCCGACCAGATTACTGGCATTCGATCGACCTTCGAGAAGTCCTACGTCAACGCCAAGGACGTTTTGATGCAGAACTTGAAGAATTTGTCGGTGAGATGCAGTTCTCCAGCGGCAAACCTCCTCCTCCTCCTCCTCCCCTTCCCCCCCCTCCTCCTCCTCCCTTTCCTCCTCCTCCTCCTCCTCCTCCTCCTCCCGATTTCATCATCACCATCGCCAGCTCGATTCCCTCTTCCTCCTGCTTCTTCTCCCGCTGATCTGCTGGCAGACCGACATGGAACGAGCATTCGCAAGGGAGTGGGTTGCCCGACCGGAGCTGGCGATCAGCGCCAAGGTCTCTTACAAGAGCAGAAACAAGACAGCAGCAACATTCAGAGGCTCTCTCCTCCAAGAAAAGGTCGCTACTTCCCTCCTACTGCTGCCTCTCCCTCTCCCTCTCCCTTTCCCTCTCCTTCTCCGCCTCTCTCCCGCTCCCCCTCCCCCTTCTCTTCTCCTTCGCTTCTCTCTTCCTCTCCCTCTCCCTCTCCTACTCTTCCCTCTTTCGACCCCGCCCTCGCCCTCGCCCTCGCCCTTCCTCCTCTACCTCCTCTCCTTCTTTCCCTCCCTCCTGTCCTCATCTCCTGTCGCCCCCCCCCTTTCCCCCGCTTCCTTCTCTAGTCTGCCCCGCTCAGAGCAGCTGCAGGCGCTGGGAGGACAGAAGTACGACATCCCATCCCTCACCAAGTTGCACTTTGACGACGATGAGCTGACGGGAACAGCCGATGACGCGAGAGTGAGAGGAGGAGGAGGAGGAGGAGGAGGAGGAGGCGAATGTGAGGGTGGGGGAGATGTGATGGTGGCGAGGTGGTGGTGCTGGAGGAAGATGTATGCATAGACAGTTAGCAAGGTAGGGGAAAGGAAGAATGGATGGAATGAGAGGGGAGGGAGGGAGGCAGGAGAGCAGAGGGGAGGGGAGGGGAGGGGAGGAGAGGAGAAGACAAGAACGAAATTCATGGTGGTATGCAGGCAATCTACAAGTATGATGTGCACAGGATGGCAAAGCTAGGTGACATGTTGCTTTCTTTACCTTGGATGCCTGACGGCCCCAGCAGGAAGACCCGGACGGCAAGAGACTCCGAAGAAGGAGCACAAGGAGGAGGAGGAGACGGCGGGCAAGGGTGGAGAGGAGGAGAGGAGGCACGATGTTCAGACGAAGATCGTCACCTCGGTCGAGGAGCTGACTGAATGAAAATTTACAAACAAATCAAAGAATAGAAACCCCCTCCTCCTGTCTACAATGAAACCCTCCACCTCCTTCCCTCGCCTCCCCAACCTTTATGCCCTTATCCTCCCTGCCATCCTCCTCCTCCTCCTCCATCCTCCTTATCCAACATCACCCTGCTCCTCTTTTTGTTCCCACTGTTCCCCCTCAGAGTTCCTGCTCCTGCGGGTCCTCTCCTCCACTGCTACCTCCTCTCCAACTCCCTCCTCTTCCTCCTCTCCCTCCTCCTTGACTCTGCTCTGCTTGATTTCTCTCTTCTCTCTACATGAAGATATTGCTGAAGTAGTTGCCTGTTATTCTCTCCACCTCCTCGTTGACCTCCACCAAGTTGCTGCAGGACCAGTTCAGCCCAAGAGAAGAGAGGAGAGGAGAGGAGAGGAGAGGAGAAGAGAGGAGAGAAGAGAAGAGGAGAGAAGAGGAGAGGAGAGGAGAGGAGAGGAGAGCAGGAGAACAGGAGAAGAGAAAGGAAAGAGGGAGAAGATGCTGGAGGCGGTTGTCACCTGTTCTTGTTCTCGCTGATGACAAAAAGTTCGCGACCATTGGAACGTCTGCCAACGACCCAACTGAAGAGACCAGGTCAGGACAGAAGAGGGAAGAAGCAGACAGGGAAAGAGTTAAGGGAGGAAGGAACGAAGGGAGAGATGGGAAAGGGGAAGAAGACAATGGGAGAAATGAGTGGGAAAGCAGAGGGGAGGAGGAAAACAGAGAAGTGTGTTGGGAACGGGATGAGGGGAGAGACAAGAGAAGTACTCGAGGAGAAGGCGGAGAAGAGGAGGAGGGAGGGGGAGAGGGAGAGAGAGACGGAGGAGGAGGAAGAGGAGACTGGGGGAAGGAAGGGGGTGCGGGGGAGGCAAAAAAGGAGGGGGAACAGAAGGAGGACAAGATGGAGGACAAAGATGTCAGCAATAGGAGCAGAAGCCTCACCCATCCGTTGAAGTTTTGACACAGATCTTCAACGGACAAACGTCAGGGAGAGGAAGCAAAAGGAAGTGTAGACAGCGGGAGTCTGAACACACCTCAGTGACGGCGCTGCTACCCTTCTGCTCCTCCTCCTCCCCGTCCTCCCCCTCCTTGCTCTCTGCTCTCAACCTCCAGGGTCCGTGCCCCTCTAAGTGCTAAGTCAGGGGTTGGAATGGTGAGGGTGGGAAGGCGTCACCTCGGAGGGAGGAATGCATTTCTAGCAGCAGACTCTGGAGTTCCTTGCTGAGGGTGAAAGTTTTCTGACCTCCTCCTTGCTTCCTGCGGTGGACGAGTGATGAGGAGAGAGGGGATATGGGGGAAGAGGGAGAGAAGAGGACAAGGGGAGGTGAGAGGCAGAGGAGGAGGGAAGGGAGGGCATGGTGAGATGGAGGGAAGGGAGTGGAGAAGAGGAGAGGTAACAGGGAGGGAGGAAGGGAGGGGAGGGGAGGTGAGGGAGGTGGGGGGCAGGAGGGCGGAGATCACAGGCTGTCCTTGAGGGCGAGATTCATGTGATTGAAGTAAAGATATCTGCGAGAGAAACAATGAGATGATGCGGCGCTGTTCTTCCATCATCCCGACCCTCCTCTCCCATCCTCTCCCCTCCTCTCCCATCCTCTCCCCTCCCCTCCCCTCCCCTCCCCTCCCCAACCCTCCTCTCCCTTCTTTTCATCATCTCTCCCGTTCTCTCCCATTATCTCCCCTCCCCTTCCCTTCCCTCCCCTCCTCTCATCCGTTCCGCTCCTCTCTGTTCTTCTCTCTTCTCCACATTCCACCCATCATCTTCACATCTCCTCTCATCCTGCCCTTCTCTACCTGTACGGCTCCTCTGCATGGATCTGAGAGCGACTCTCGAGAGACGTCAAGGTCGAGTCAAAGGAGGAAATGGGCCCCTGCGCCGAACGTGAGGAAGAGGGAGGGAGAGAGGGAAAGAGAGGGTGGAGGGAGTGAAATGTACATGAAGAGAGCATGGAGAAGAGGCAGCAAGGAGAGGACGAGCACAGGATGAGAACAGGAGGAGGAGAGGAGGAGTAGAGGAGGAGGAGAGGAGGAGGAGAGGAGGAGAGGGAAGAACCAGAGAGAGGTTCAAGGAGAGGAGGAGGATAGGATGAAGGTTTCAGCCGTGGGGGGATGGGAGGTTGCCTGAACGAAAAGAGCGAGTTGGTGCAGCAGCGATCCGTTCTCAGTCGACTGAGGATGAGGTGAGCTAGCAGCAGGTACATCCTCCCGACCGACCTCTGACTGATCCAGCAGGAAACACCACAGGGCGTGATTGTTGCGGAAGACCACCAGTTTACACTCGCAGGCATCTTCTTGCGACTGATTGTTCAAGAAGACCATGGGCATCTTTGAAGCAATGTTGGACATCTGTTCCCAAGGACAAAACAGTGAGCTACACGTCTTTTCTTTGTTTTCCCAGTGAACAGAGAATTTGTTGCCTGCTGCGTCGTGAAAGTTTTGAGGTCTAGAGGGAGAATCCAACTGCGGTTGTATGGCGAAAAGATCGGCTGTAAACAAAGTCAGAGCGTCAACTCTCAGTCCCATTGTCACAACAGTATGAAGCTGAAATTGCTACAACCCTCCTTCAAAGTTTTCTCCTGCTCCTGCTCCTGCTCCTGCTCCTGCTCCTGCTCCTGCTCCTGCTCCTGCTCCTGCTCCTGCTCTTTCTGCTCCTGCTCTTTCTGCTCCTGCTGCTGCTGCTGCTGCTGCTGCTGCTGCTGCTCCTGCTCCTGCTCCTGCTCCTGCTCCTGCTCCTGCTCCTGCTCCTGCTCCTGCTCCTGCTCCTGCTCCTGCTCCTGCTCCTGCTCCTGCTCCTGCTCCTGCTCTTTCTGCTCCTGCTCCTGCTCCTGCTCCTGCTTCTGCTTCTGCTCCTGCTTCTGCTCCTGCTCCTGCTCATACTCCTGCTGCTCCTTCTGCTCCTGCTCCTTCTGCTCCTGCTCCTTGTCCTCATCATACTCATACTCATACGCATCACCCTCATCCTCATCTTCTGCTCTAGAACAAGCGCTTCCCTGACCCAAACCCGCCCGCCAAACCCGCCCGCTCCTTCACCTGCGCGTCGGGATCTTTCACAGGTGGAACTGACTGCGATCGCCACTTGAGAAGACCTGGCGGGTTCGCAAGGAGACGATGAGAAGATGAGGAGAATAACATTCTTGTTGAGCATACCTGTGTTGTCCGATGAAACGTGCGCGACGAGGTAGTTGTAAAGTGAGCTCAGGTCCGATGTTTCAGGCAGAGAATTCCACTGTGTTGCAGGTCAAACCGATCGGAGATTTCAAAAGAGTTGCTGCTGAAGGGGAGAGGAGATGGGAGAGAGGAGAAAAGAAAGAGGACGAGGACGAGGACGAGGACGAGGAAGAGAAGGGCTGTGGTGGTTGTGGTGGAAGAAAACTGAAGCAGGAAATAACAACTCACAACAAGCATGTCCTTGAACATGCAGAGTCCGTACTTGAGACAACGGAAGTCTTGCTGCGGAGCGCGTCACATGATAGAAAAAGTAAGGGGAGGAGAGTGAGAGAGGGAAGGAGGCAGGCAGGCAGGCAGGCAGGCAGGCAGGCAGGCAGGCAGGCAGGCAGGCAGGCAGGCAGGCAGGAAGGAAGGAAGGAAGGAAGGAGAGGCTTCAACAACCTGAGCGAAGTGAAAGAAAGACTGCAGACTCAAGTATGTCTGATCAGAGAAAATGATCTCAGTGCACCTGCTACATGGTCTTCATGCTGAAAACCTGTCGGTCCACAGGGAAGTATCGTATCCCCCTCAGGCTGTACGTGAGGTCGAGCTTCGTGGTGGGAGGCTGCGGGGAGGTTTGTGAGTGAAGGAGAGGAAACTTTGGCAGCTCACGATGGTGGCGATGAAAGGTGGAAAGAAGAGAGAGAGTTTCCTCCTCAGCACGTCGACAGACTCGTTCTTGATGACCCGCTCGAAGGGTCCATGAAAGAGGACAAACCTGCCATGGGGAGAGAAGAGAGAGGGTAGAGGAAAGGAGGAGGGAGGAAAGGAGGGAGGCAGAAGTGAGAGGAGGAAGGATACATGGGACAGCGATCGAAATTGAGGAGGAGATCCCAGTCAACAAATCAGCATGCATGGCCTCCCTTCCCTTCTTACATCTCGTAGGCATTTCTGAGAGTTGAATCCAACACCTCGTCGGAGAGGTCATGGTCTACGAAACCGTCTGCGTCTTTCCTCGTCCCCCTAGACGTCTTAACCACTATCACAACCCACAAGTTTGGCTCTGGCTCCCAAATTGCCTGACAAGGTGCAAGAGAACAAGGCGTATCACTCTCACTGATCATGGGCTCGAGAACTCTCGATCTCGCTCTTGTCACCTGGCGCGTCTGCTCTGTGTGAACTGCATTGCACGGCCGGTCAGGGCTGAACGTCTTGGTAAAGTTGATAAGAGCCTCCACCAACCCGACGTCTGAGCATTGCTGGTCTGGGAGGACATCGCGCAATCAGCGTAAGGAGATGCGACTAAGGGAATAACCTTGTTGAGAAGATGCGGGGTAGTAGAAGAGAATTTTCTCGTGCTCGTTGTCCTCTCTCTGACCCAGCCTGCAAGTCAAGCATGTCAGCGCAAGACACAGGATGGGCTCGGGTGTCTCACCGAGTGTCGAAGATGAAGAGCTTCTCCACATCTTGAACTTCCTTGTTCGCGTTGGTGTTGCTTGAGAGGAGCATGCCGGTCCTGCAAGCATGTCAGTGGACACGACTCTGCATCCTGCTCCTGGCCAAAGTCGTAGCCTCAACATCTTGCTCCTGGCTCCTCTCCTCTCGCTGCATTCTCCCCTCTCCTCTCCTCCCTGTTCCCCTCCATCCTTTCCCCCTCGCCTCTGCCTGATTCATTTTCGATGCTCCCACAAACACGCTTGCTTCCGAAGGGTGGGGTGGTAGTTACACCCATACGATTATAGCACCCTTCTTGTGAAATGGAGGGGTCAAACATTTACTAGTGGGGTCATACGGGTTGGGTTGTCAGCGCCTTTTCGATGGCAGGCAGGATAGGCAAATAGAAGATGCTGGAATTGTAGGGCAATGAAAGAATGGAGGAGAGAAGAGAGGAGGAGAGGAGAGAAGAAGAGAGGAGGAGAGGAGGAGAGGAGAGAGAGGTCATAGCTGTGAGACATGGGTGTCAAGATATGTCTGAGAGGGCACCATGACGTGCGTGAGTGCTTTGTTCTAATTCCGGCTTGTGCTAGCGATGGAGCAAGGCCGGCAGTGAAGCGCCTGTCTTAGCACCTCTATCAAGACGCACTTGAGCTCAACTGTCCTCCAAGTCTCAAGCTATCACCATGATCGGTCCATGGGGCGGCTCATGGCATTCGGTCATGATCAACTTCGGTCTTCACCTTGTACTCTACTTCTTGATTTTCGCTGCCGCATGCTTCTTCGCCGCGAGGAACTACAGGTGTCCTTGCCCTCTCCCTCAATGAGCAGCACAGCTCAACCCTCCACACAGGAGAAGGAGAAACCCTGAGAGAAGACCGCTGGCGTCCTCAGAGGACAAAGCTGTCTCGGGGAGCGAAGAGGACGTGGTGGACGAGGGTTGCTGTCAGGTGGGTGAAGCAAGAGGAGCATCGAGTTTGACTGCATGCTCTCTTGAACTTCTGCTTGCAGGAACTTGGCACCTTCGTGGCTGACCCCGTCCCCTTCCTAGTCGATACTGCGCAGGTGTGACGGGAGATGGTGGGAGTGCTTTTCTCACATGTCGGCAGGCTGACGACGATACTGTCCATCATCTTGCCGGGCTGGAGGCTCGTCTGTACCTCGACTTCACCTGGAGCATGACTGTCTTCTTCTCTGTAACGCCTCTGCATGCTGCGCTGATGGGCTGAACGTGCATGACAGGTCATTGCATTCCTAGGGGTTGCTGTGCTCGTTCCGATGAATCTCCTCACAACCAAGAAGGTCAGGACAGTGCCTCCTGTCATTCAGGCGATGCCAGTGACCAGTGTGTCGCTGCTCAGTCTTGGTATCCGCTGGATTCATTCGTCATCACAACCTCCAACGGATTCGCTTCGCCCTCCAGCGCGCTTCTGTTTCATACCATGGTCGCTGTTTTCTTGGCCGGTTGTTCAGACCTTGCCTGGTGAGGATGTGTGATTAGTCTGGACCACAGGAAGCCTGTGCGCTATCGTGTACTTCCTCCGAACGAGGATGGTTGCTAACGCCAAGGTCTTTCTGTCACATCCTCCATATTTGAACACAAGCTGACGTGTGATCGGCAGGGAGAGTATGGCGAAGGAGCCATTCCTCCTGTTCAGGTAAGAACAGGAGAGTGAGTGAGTGCTTGCAATTATCTAAGACGCGTTTGCGCTTTACAGGCGTACACTGTCGAAATCCAGGTCTTGAACAGCTGTGAAATCTCGCCCAGCAGGACATGACCTATCTGCAGGGCCTGAGATTGATCCCTCCGGTGAGGCAGGAGGAGCTGCGAACCATGTTCGACGCCTGCCCGGACACGCAAGGGAAGGTTGTGGATGTATGCCCTCGATGCTCTTGGAGTTTGAAGATCGCTCCTGTCAGGTCCTGGACGTGTCTGTCTCCCTTGACGTGACGGACCTGGTGCGTTGGAGGTTTGGGCACCTGCCGTTGGTCCTGACGCCATCGATGCAGGTGGATCTGGTGGAGAATCATCGTGTCCTCCACAAGAAGGTCTACCTCTACCTCTACCTCTGTGCCCTTTGCCGCAGCGGCTGGTCTTAGCTCGACCTATACAGCTGGCCAGGTACAAGCAGCAGGCGGAGAACGACGGGACTCGACCGCAGATGCAGGTCGGCATGCAATCCATGACTTCATGGGCAGTAAACGTCCTGTGTTTGTGCTCCAGACTGGATTTTTCTCCTTCATGTACATGGGGGAATGGGTCGACGCCATCGACCACCTAGAAGGGGATCTTAAGAAGGCTGAGGAGGAGGTGGAGCGATTTGCGTCGCCTTTTAAGGGGCTCACTTGAAATTATGCAGATGAACGCGCTGCAGAGGAAGAAAGAGAGGATGGGAACAGGGACAGGTACAAGGAGTGCGGCTGGAACTCGATGCTCTTACCGTCCCTTCAGCCTTCGTTGTCTTCAAAGATCGCAAGAGCGCCATCGCAGCCGTCAATGCATTTAGGGCAAGAAGCCCGAATGTTGGAGTCTTGAGTGCTGACGCTTGAGGTCTGCAGAACGTCCAAAAGGCCCAGAGTGAGTTCAGCCAGCCAGCGATCGGCAGAAAGATGCAGGTAGACCCCGATGTAGTCGATCTGGTCGTAGCAGAACACGAGCTTGCTATTCATTTCTGATCCATCCATGACGATTGCCATCCTGACGATTTTGTTTTCCTCAGCTCTGCCGCAGCGCTCAGAGCTGGTCTATCACAATGGCATGCAAGGTACTCTTCTTTCCCCTCTCAGTCAGCTTCCCTTGTGCCTCCTGAATTTGCTGCCTCCCTTTTCCCCCCTTCCAACTTCCCTTTCCCCCTCCTCCCTGTGACTCACAGAACACCCGAAACTAACCCTCCTGTCTTAGCCCGAGGATGTCTTTTGGAGGAACTTGAGGTCTCCTGCCGAGCTCCTGCGTGCTGCCGGTCTGTTGAGCCCCCCTGTGCAGATATGGCAGGATCCACCACTTCATGCTGAGCTTCACCTGGACTCTGATCCTCTTCGTGGCGCTGAGGTAGGGAGGAGGGAAATGTTACACGTTTTCCCTTCCTAACACCTGGGGTCCAGCTCGATCGTGACGCCAATCTTCCTCCTTCAAGTGAGGGTCTTGCTCTTGACCTCTTCGTGCCTCTGAGAATTCTCAGCTCTTCCTCGCGATCGGCGACAAGACGATCGAAAATGTTGAAAGCATTGAGGTTACCTCCTCCTCCCTCTTCTTCCCCTCCTTCCTCTCCTGCCTCCTCTCCTCCTCTCTGTAGTCCTCCCTCTATTCCTGTCTCCTGTCTGCTCCTTCCAAGATACAGTCCACCTTTCTCGTTTGACTATCACTTCTTCTCCACCTCTCCCTTCCTAGTCCTCCTTCTCCCTCTTCTCTTTCTCCTGCTCTTCCTCCCCTCCTTCCTTTTCTTCCCTGAAGTATCCTCCATCAGAACTCGGCAACCTCCAGGAGCTCAGGATCCTATGAGAGCTACTTTGCCGTCTCCTCGACGTAGAGCTTCAGCCCAACACCATCGCAATGGTCTGACGTCATTGAACAGGCAATCGCGCTTCAACAGGATTGTTCTCTTCTTTGCTAATATCCTTTGGCCCTTCCTGGTCAGTGTGCCGATCAACTGTCATCATCATCATCGTCATCACTATCATACTAAACTCATCATCGTCATACTCATACTCATGCTCATACTCATACTCATACTCATTCTTGAGGCTCTCTTCTCCTTCTAATAATCCTTGACCTCGATCTCCTCAGGTCCTTTTGGTTAACGTGATCCTGATGCCATACATGGTGCATGCGAGCGTGAAGTTCTTCGGTCACAGACAAGGTCACCTAGAGGACGGGATCGGGCCGCACGTGGCTACTCCCATCGACTGTCCTCACGATATGCATGTTTGCAGTCTCTACCATGAGGCGATCTTCGTTCAACCTCATATTCTTTTTCATGGTTTCCAACCTCCTTCTTGTCCCTGCCCTGTCTCTCAGGTGTGCTGCTTCGGTGCTACAGCCCTCAATTCGTTCACTTCCCCTGCAGCGGTCTGGATGAACTCTTCAACGTTATCTTCTCGACGCCCGTGGACCAATTGTTCGCTCAGATTCTCCTGGTAACTTGGAGCCTCCTGCCCCCTCCTCTACTCCTCCTCCTCCTCCTCCTCCTCCTCCTCCTCCTCCTCCTCCTCCTCCTCCTCCTCCTCCTCCTGCCAGTCACATCAGGAATGATTGCAGTACGGCTCCTCGACGTCTTTCTTTGTCGAGTACGTAGCGCAGGTCGTTGTGCCTCTCACACACCTTCAACCCTGACGAACCAGCACGTCCAGGCTGCTTTCCTCTCAGCTTCCTTCTACTTCCTCTTCCACACGACGACCCCTGCCCTGATCAACTGGGCCTCAGGTGGAGCTGACGGCAGCTGAGAGTGAGACTGAGGGGACTGTGCAGATGGGCACGAGCAGGAGCTGTCGTGGGAGTTCGACTTCGCCTTCTTCTACTCGTCCATGATCTCCGTCCTGGCCATGTGAGCTGAGAATCGACTTGCTGAAAGTTGGAAATGTAGTCTGACTTGTGACGGTACCATGCTCGCAGTGGGATCATGTTTGCGGTCACTGTCCCTCTTATCCTGCCCTTCATTGCTGGATTTCTTGTTCTCCGCTACTACACGGACAAGTGGCAGGTCTGAGCAATCTTTCCTCCTCCTCCTCCTCCTCCTCCTCCTCCTCCTCCTCCTCCTCCTCCTCCTCCTCCTCCTCCTCCTCCTCCTCCTCCTCCTCCTCCTCCTCCTCCTCCTCCTCCTCCTCCTCCGCACTGACTTACCCTCTCCTGACAGACTTCTGCCGCTCTCTTCGCGCTCGTCCTTATCTCCGGCATTGCTCTGGTCTCATTCTCTTTCTCTTTCTTCTTCTTCCTCACTGTCAAGGCAGTTGGCCTTCGGCTGCTGGCTGAGAGTGCAGGGCGCTGAGCTGCTCAGCTATGTGAGTCTGCCAACTTCCCCTCCCTCTCCCTTCTTGGCCCTGCTGCATCGCCCCTTCCTCGCTTCCTTGCTCTTCCCTCCTTCCTGCTTACTCCTTCCAGCTTCCTCCTTCCTCCTTCCTCTCCCCGTCTGCCCCTGCTCTCCAGCAGCAGCAGCAGCAGCACTCACTCCCTTGCAGGCTCCCCTGGCCGGCTTCTTCGTTATCATCTTGATCCTCCTCATTCCCATGCTGAGGGACAACCTCATCGTCGTGAATCCCCGCTGGGAGGTTGGAGCCTCTTCAGATCCTGCTCCAGGGCCAACTGCTCCTTTCGTTCTTGCTCCTCCCTTTTCTCCCTCCTCCTCGTCCCTCCCTCGTCCCTCCCTCCCTCCCTCCCTCCCTCCCTTCTTGTCTTCTCTTCCCCCACCTACTTCTCCTCCTTACCTTACACATGCTTCCCGCAGCCTCATGAGGTCGAGGACGTCGAACAGCCCGAGAGTCTCGAGGTTGCTGCACCGCAGGCGTACGTAGGCGCCTACGAGAACCCGTGAGATTCTTCCCCTTCCCCCTCCTTCTCCCTCCCTTCCCCCTCCTCTTCTCTCCTGCTTGTCGCTGCCACAGACTGACCATCGTTCTGCCATCCTTCAGGTACCTGAGAGACTCTCCTGCTGCTACCGAGAGGCTCTGGAGCTCCGGGACAGTTGGAGGGTTCGCAGAATATTAACTTACTACAGTTAGTAAAGACCCTCCCCTGCGGCCACTGCCCCCGGCTGCTGGGGCCCAGCACTGGCCCAATGGCACTTACTACCGTACCGTGAACTGATTGAAGCCTTCAATCGTTTTGCCTTGTTATGACGATATGTGATACTCTGAGGGGGACTGGCTTCAATAATTGGTATCTGCGCTTTCTAAACGAATTTTCCAGCTCGCCTCAGTCTCTTTAATACAAGGATTAACAAGGCAGAGAACTGTCAGTAAGCATCTGGCGCGCTCATGCCCGTGCCAGGACAAGGAGGGAATGGGGGGTAGGAAGGGAGAGGCAGGGAAGCAGGAGCAGAGGTCAAGGCAGAAGCAGTCCTTGAGCATGCACAGCTCCATGCTGGCTGATCAGAACTTCGAGTTCCTGCCTTGCGGCTTCCATGCTGCAGCGCTGGTGGAGCAGGAGGTCGAACAGGTGGTGAGCATGATGGCAGGGATAGATGCAAGGATCAATCCTTCTGCGCTCCTTAGTTTCGTTCAATCTTCGAAACCGTTTGAAGATCTTCTCCTGTCACTCTCAAGCTCTGCAAACGCTGCGCAAGAGCTGCATGCTGGCAGTAGGACTCTTGACGACCTGAGCATTCGAAGGGTTCTCCGTGGATGGCAAAGAGCTTCGAGGGAGCAGGGAGGTGGCAGACAGAAACTTCTGTCATGCCTTTTCTCTTGGAAAAGAAGGTTGCAGCGATCTACACTCATCAGATGGCATCGGATTCTCAACGATGTCGTGGTCGAGCTTTTGTGGGGTTCTTTTGCTCGGTGGTCCCTTGTGTTGGACAAGAAGGCGATAGCGAAGAGATATGATGAGGTTGCTGGCGAGTTCGAACTCGAATTGAGGCAGAGAAGATTGAAGACAACGATGCACGAATGGGCGCAAGTGTGTAAGTCTGTCTTGGTATCATACACAAGGCTGGTGGATAGAACTCTTAGGTCACTCCGCAAGTACGTGCAGTACAGGAAGTACAAGATTGGTCAGAGAGGCGAAGCAGCGTTCCTCTTCAGGATCCAAGTTCTGCTCCGACATACTAGAGCTTGGCTCACTTACTTCCAATGCTGCAAGCAGATTGAATCAGTTCGCGTTCATAAGTTTCGCAACATTCTTGCGGCCCGGGTTGTGGCGCGCAGGCTGCAAGAGTGGAGAAAGACAGCTGGTGTCTTGCATGCGATGAGGAGTAGGAGAAGACAGATGGACAGAAGATGTTTGATGTTCGGATGGGAGGTGCTTCTGGACAACGTGTGCATAGAGGAACAGACGCGGAAGAAAGCGTTTTTGACGAGCTTCATTTGGTCGAGTTGGTTAAGATGTAAGTGGCCTGTAGTTGTCAGCAGATGTGTCAAGTTTGACTTTTATGAACACAGGCAGAGCATTCAGGCATCTCAAGTGGAACATGATAGTAGTTGAGGTTGCTGAAACACTTGAAACCCGCTCCGCCTTATCACCGTGTGTTGACAGATGGGAAAGAGAGTTGCGAAGAGATGTTTGAGCTGCTACTTCTTCTTGTGGGTGAGCGTTGGAAAGTTTCTGTCGAGCTCCTGTAACTCGGTCGTCTCCTCCAGAATCACTTCCGGCAGGAAGTTGTCAATGCAAGGAAGATGCTTCAGATTGCTCGCGCTCAACACTGGCAGCGACACGAGCCGATGCTGCTACAGGCACCAAAGTCCTCCCTTGACGAATCGATTCGGCTCACACACTCCTGTTGCAGCACTGTATCTCTGCTATCCGATGTCACATCTCTACCATGCGGAGGTTGTTCCTTGCCCTCTGCGCCTCCTGCTCCTGAACATGCTCTGCAGGGCGAGAGGACTGGCGATGGCGATATTCCACAAGAAGCAGCATGACTGGAGAGTGAAGCTGCAAGAGGTAAATTGCTGGAATCTTTCATGTTTTGATTGACACACTCGTTGCCACAGGAATCGATCCGTCATCTGAGATCACACGTCAAACTCAGCCAGCACAAGAAGAAACTCGTTCAGTTACAATTCAAGCTCAGGTTCACCCATGCTCTCGAGATCAAAGGTAGTTGACCAGCGTGCGTCAGATGCTGCAAGGAACTTCAGTTGAGAGTTGAAACATTCAGACGGTGGAAAAGACTACGACTGACCCAAGGTTGTTTCAGACTTTGCTGTTCTGTAACAGTCCGTTATCTCTCTTGATTGTACACTATCAGTCGAACTTCTATCGAAACTTGCAAACACGGCCATGGCGAGAAAGAGGAACTCGTTCTCTTTGTGGTTGGAACTTCAGGTTTCCCAGATGGCTGCTTGTCAAAAGGCTGACAAGAAATGCAGTGCGATCGCTCCCGTCTGCGAGTCATGAGTCAGATGTCAAGTCTCTTTCGATTGCGGCAAAGGAAGAAGTGACCGCCGTCACTGTCGTGAATTTCCACTGACGTAGCACGTGCAGGCAAGCTTCGAGTGTGTTCCTGCGATGGAGGAGAGCTAGAGAAGAGAAGAAGCAAGAGGACATGCCGAGCCAAACCAACTCGGAACTTGAGGCCATAAAGTGCTCTGTCAAGACAGCAGAGCTGCAGGATGTGGCAGCTGCTCCTGCTCTTGCTCCTGCTCCTGCTCCTGCTGCCGAGGAGGAGGAGGAGGAGGAGGAGGAGGAGGAGGAGGGAGAGGAGGAGGAGGAGCTCCCTTCGTTCTGCGACATGAACCTCACCAGTGAGATCACTCGTGCTTGGGACGTTGGGAGAGGCAGGTCCTGACTCCTTTGATCGCAGTCGAGCAGTGGTTTTCCGCCTCCCTCCACTATGAGCGGGTACATTTTGTCTCGCCTTCACATGTCAGAACCAGCTCATGAAGCTACAGGCAAGCCTTAGGAAGCCTCTGGTGGCATGGCGGGCCCGTGTGCTAGTTCGCAAGGCCTCCAGTGCCATCCGGGACCTCAACGGGGAAGGGAGAAAGAGGCGCACGTAATGAGTAGCAGGTAACTCTGTGTTACTAGTGTATCTATATCACCTACAAGGTCGTGTCCTCTCCTCATGGGACGGAAACCTCTGGCGAAGAGGGCAAATATGCAAGTGCGGGGGGGCAAGAAATAGCAGAGTGGGATGGACGCGATGGCAAAAGCCTTGCAAGCTTACGATGACAAAGTTGAATCTCTCTGACACAAGGTCTTTTCCCCGCAAACCGTCTGAAATTCATCCTGCCTGCACGTATAGACACTGAGCATGCGGACGACTGAGTCTACCAGATGCTGTCAGAATCCTATTCATTGAACTTTACAGCTAACATACAGGTTGCAGTCAACAGGGATTTACCAGGTCTTCTGGACATTCATGTCAACTCCTGCCCATCCCTCATCCCGTATACCCTTAAAGCCCTCTGATCCTCGCCCCCCTTCACACCCGCTGCAGCAGCACCTCCTTGTGCTCCATGATCCAGTTCCTCAGCGGTACCCCCCTCGGCAAGTACTTCTTCACGTCCTCCGACGACCGCAGGCTGCAGAACTCCTTGTTGTAGTCGCTGTTGAGCTGGAACATGTTGGCCAGGTCGTCGGCCCCGGGGAAGGGGAGCTTGGCGTACTCGTCGCGAGAGACCATGTTGTACCTGACCTCGATCCCCAGGGTCTCCGTGAAGAGCTTCGCCACCTCCTCCATCGTCATGGTCTGGCTCGACACCCCGAGGGTCTTGCCCATGGTGCTCTTGTCCTTGAAGACGGCGGCGGCGAAGCGCCCGATGTCCTCGACGTCGTTCATGGGGAAGGGCTCTGTGCCCAGAGGGAAGGTGATGACGGCGGGCTGGTCGGGCACGTATCGCTTGGGGCCCATGCCGAAGTCGATGAAGTTGCTGTAGAAGAAGCTGGTGTAGATGCCTGTGGCGGGGATGCCTTGCGCCCTCATCCACTCCAGCCCCTCGCCCTTCATGTCGTAGTGAGGCACGTAGAGGCCCTTGAGCTTGGGCAGGGGGTTGTCCTCCTTGACGATCTTCCTCGTGTCCTCCAGCGCTGAGAACACCACATGCTCCACTCCCGCGGCCTTGCAGGCGTTGCCGAGGTTCTTGATGTGCTGCAGCTCTACCAAAGGGTCCATGCCGCAGCTGGCCCAGTAGTCGGTGACGAGGAACGCCCCGTAGCACCCCTGGAAGGCAGCACGCAGAGACCCCTCGTCCGCCATGTCGGCCTTGACCATCTTGATCTTGAGCTGGTCGGCGAGGGTCTTGGCGCGCTCGCTCTGGGGGTCGCGGGTGACGCCGAGGACGTCGTAGGTGCCGTCTTGGAGGAGGGCACGAGCGACGGCTCCGCCTTGACGGCCGGTGATACCAGTGACGGCGATGAGAAGCTTGGAGGACATGCGCGAGGGTGCGTGTGGGGGAAAAGTTGTGCTGGTACTTGAGAGGAGGGGGAATACGTCGAGTCGGATTGGGGAGGAGGGGGTGGTAGTTATAGAGAGAAACTCTGAAGGAAACAGGGGTGGGGGGTACGAAATGTGTCCCGGGTGAAATGACCAGGCACATCCGATCGCAATGCACCTGCGACTTATCAAATCCAGACGTTGCAGCAACACACGGCAAGTTCAAATCTGGTAAGAAGTGTACAAGTGTAATCGACAATCCAAGATGTCGGTATTGTCGAGGTATAGACTTGGAAACGTTGATCTCATCAAGTGATGTGTGTATTGATCTCTACTCATAGGGCCTATCATGATTCCTTCCCCCATCTTCGGCCTTCATGCTCTCTGATCCTCGCCCCCCTTCACACCCGCTGCAGCAGCACCTCCTTGTGCTCCATGATCCAGTCCCTCAGCGGTACCCCCCTCGGCAAGTACTTCTTCACGTCCTCCGACGACCGCAGGCTGCAGAACTCCTTGTTGTAGTCGCTGTTGAACTGGAACATGTTGGCCCGGTCGTCGGCCCCGGGGAAGGGGAGCTTGGCGTACTCGTCGCGAGAGACCATGTTGTACCTGACCTCGATCCCCAGGGTCTCCGTGAAGAGCTTCGCCACCTCCTCCATCGTCATGGTCTGGCTCGACACCCCGAGGGTCTTGCCCATGGTGCTCTTGTCCTTGAAGACGGCGGCGGCGAAGCGCCCGATGTCCTCGACGTCGTTCATGGGGAAGGGCTCTGTGCCCAGAGGGAAGGTGATGACGGCGGGCTGGTCGGGCACGTATCGCTTGGGGCCCATGCCGAAGTCGATGAAGTTGCTGTAGAAGAAGCTGGTGTAGATGCCTGTGGCGGGGATGCCTTGGGCCCTCATCCACTCCAGCCCCTCGCCCTTCATGTCGTAGTGAGGCACGTAGAGGCCCTTGAGCTTGGGCAGGGGGTTGTCCTCCTTGACGATCTTCCTCGTGTCCTCCAGCGCTGAGAACACCACATGCTCCACTCCCGCGGCCTTGCAGGCGTTGCCGAGGTTCTTGATGTGCTGCAGCTCTACCAAAGGGTCCATGCCGCAGCTGGCCCAGTAGTCGGTGACGAGGAACGCCCCGTAGCACCCCTGGAAGGCAGCACGCAGAGACCCCTCGTCCGCCATGTCGGCCTTGACCATCTTGATCTTGAGCTGGTCGGCGAGGGTCTTGGCGCGCTCGCTCTGGGGGTCGCGGGTGACGCCGAGGACGTCGTAGGTGCCGTCTTGGAGGAGGGCACGAGCGACGGCTCCGCCTTGACGGCCGGTGATACCAGTGACGGCGATGAGAAGCTTGGAGGACATGCGCGAGGGTGCGTGTGGGGGAAAAGTTGTGCTGGTACTTGAGAGGAGGGGGAATACGTCGAGTCGGATTGGGGAGGAGGGGGTGGTAGTTATAGAGAGAAACTCTGAAGGAAACAGGGGTGGGGGGTACGAAATGTGTCCCGGGTGAAATGACCAGGCACATCCGATCGCAATGCACCTGCGACTTATCAAATCCAGACGTTGCAGCAACACACGGCAAGTTCAAATCTGGTAAGAAGTGTACAAGTGTAATCGACAATCCAAGATGTCGGTATTGTCGAGGTATAGACTTGGAAACGTTGATCTCATCAAGTGATGTGTGTATTGATCTCTACTCCTGCGACCTATCATGATTCCTTCCCCCATCTTCACCCTTCATGCCCTCTGATCCTCGCCCCCCTTCACACCCGCTGCAGCAGCACCTCCTTGTGCTCCATGATCCAGTCCCTCAGCGGTACCCCCCTCGGCAAGTACTTCTTCACGTCCTCCGACGACCGCAGGCTGCAGAACTCCTTGTTGTAGTCGCTGTTGAACTGGAACATGTTGGCCCGGTCGTCGGCCCCGGGGAAGGGGAGCTTGGCGTACTCGTCGCGAGAGACCATGTTGTACCTGACCTCGATCCCCAGGGTCTCCGTGAAGAGCTTCGCCACCTCCTCCATCGTCATGGTCTGGCTCGACACCCCGAGGGTCTTGCCCATGATGCTCCTGGGTTCCATGATTCATAGCTCATCGTGACTGACATCCAACCTTTGGCATGACGATGGAATGCCAATGCTGTCCTTCCCGAAAGGGATCGACTTGACAGACGGTGGGTTCATCTGTGTTGCAGACAGTAAGACCTGCTGCTGCTCACAGTAGCGTTGAGACCCTCCTGTTCTCAGCCGGGAACAAGCGTGTGGTGGTGATGGATCGAGGTGGGAGGTTTGTCAGAGACATCCAGTCGCCACAAGAGATGTGCAACCTCTGTGCTGTTTGTGTTGACGAGATCGAATTCGTCTATGTGGCCGATGCAGGACTTAGCAGGTAGCATTTGCCTTGCAAGAAAAAAGGTTGGACTGATTGATGTGTCAGCGTCTTTGTCTTCGATTTCGACGGAGAGCTGATCAACGAGTTCGACGGATCAAGTGTGCTAGCCATCAGTGAATGTAGAAGACATTCTGAGATGCTCTTCGAAGCTAGCGAAAAGTTGTGCGAGATTAGTTGACTCTTGATGTGCAGGCTCTGCTGGCAGAGGGGAAGGTCAGGTCAGTAAGACGAGGAAGAGGAGGGAGGATCAGTAAGAGGATGAAGAAGAGGACGAGGACGAGGAAAAAGAATCAGTGAGAGCAGAATCAGGAGGAGTGACAGTCTGATCACTGAGGTGGAGGAGGAGGAGACAACAGGTGCGTGTGTCTGAAATCGGGGCATGCTGCTGGCTTAATAGAGGCTCGGTAGAGCACCCCTGGAAGGCAGCACGCAGAGACCCCTCGTCCGCCATGTCGGCCTTGACCATCTTGATCTTGAGCTGGTCGGCGAGGGTCTTGGCGCGCTCGCTCTGGGGGTCGCGGGTGACGCCGAGGACGTCGTAGGTGCCGTCTTGGAGGAGGGCACGAGCGACGGCTCCGCCTTGACGGCCGGTGATACCAGTGACGGCGATGAGAAGCTTGGAGGACATGCGCGAGGGTGCGTGGTGGGGGGGGGGGGGCAGTTGATACCGAACAAGGGAGGGGGGTGGGTTAGTAGTAGGACGTTCGGAGGGGTAGGGGTCACTCCTGCTCGCTTCGTTGCGTCTTGGTTGAAATGCGACCAGGGCCGGGCAGAAGTAGTAAAGTGAAACGTACTTGGACCCACCCTTTTATGCTTGAAAGGGGGGGTACCACTTTACCCCACTTTGCTAACCCGACTGGTCATTTGACCCTACCCCCATTGACCCACAATTATTAAACCCCCAATGAACAAAGAACCGATCATGTGATGTAGGCACTTTTGACTGCCTCTTCCTTTTACTAGAATTCTGTTGAGGCGGGTTGGTATGGTTTATCTATTCCAAGGTCATTTTAAAACTGATGGACCCCCACCCCCTGTGTTGGAAGGGATGCAACGAAACGTGCGCTCACCCAAATACAAAAAAGGAGAAGAAGAACAAGAAAACAAGAATCTCCCTCCTTCAACCACACACACGCATGTCCTCCAAGCTTCTCATCGCCGTCACTGGTATCACCGGCCGTCAAGGCGGAGCCGTCGCTCGTGCCCTCCTCCAAGACGGCACCTACGACGTCCTCGGCGTCACCCGCGACCCCCAGAGCGAGCGCGCCAAGACCCTCGCCGACCAGCTCAAGATCAAGATGGTCAAGGCCGACATGGCGGACGAGGGGTCTCTGCGTGCTGCCTTCCAGGGGTGCTACGGGGCGTTCCTCGTCACCGACTACTGGGCCAGCTGCGGCATGGACCCTTTGGTAGAGCTGCAGCACATCAAGAACCTCGGCAACGCCTGCAAGGCCGCGGGAGTGGAGCATGTGGTGTTCTCAGCGCTGGAGGACACGAGGAAGATCGTCAAGGAGGACAACCCCCTGCCCAAGCTCAAGGGCCTCTACGTGCCTCACTACGACATGAAGGGCGAGGGGCTGGAGTGGATGAGGGCGCAAGGCATCCCCGCCACAGGCATCTACACCAGCTTCTTCTACAGCAACTTCATCGACTTCGGCATGGGCCCCAAGCGATACGTCCCCGACCAGCCCGCCGTCATCACCTTCCCTCTGGGCACAGAGCCCTTCCCCATGAACGACGTCGAGGACATCGGGCGCTTCGCCGCCGCCGTCTTCAAGGACAAGAGCACCATGGGCAAGACCCTCGGGGTGTCGAGCCAGACCATGACGATGGAGGAGGTGGCGAAGCTCTTCACGGAGACCCTGGGGATCGAGGTCAGGTACAACATGGTCTCTCGCGACGAGTACGCCAAGCTCCCCTTCCCCGGGGCCGACGACCTGGCCAACATGTTCCAGCTCAACAGCGACTACAACAAGGAGTTCTGCAGCCTGCGGTCGTCGGAGGACGTGAAGAAGTACTTGCCGAGGGGGGTACCGCTGAGGGACTGGATCATGGAGCACAAGGAGGTGCTGCTGCAGCGGGTGTGAAGGGGGGCGAGGAGACTGAGGGATGACCGCTTGGTGGTTTAGGCTCAATAGTGCACTCGATTAAAAGATGACCTTGCAAATCATTGCTAGTGATGTTCGGCGAGCTTTTGACACACGAGCAGCTTTGGAATATGCAGATTTGCTAATTACGAAGTTAAGGGTCTTTGCCGCTTGCCGCACGTACGAGAACAATCAGGAGAATCGAGGACACTTTTACTCAGGCTCGGAGGGGCCGGGGGGAAGACTGCGGCAGTGAGTGCCGAGACAGGGACGAGCCTGAGTCTGGCCCTGAGACGGTACGGTCTGCTGATCGGATCGGAGAGTCTGTCGGAGTGGTTGGAGACAGGTTTGAGAGTCGGAAAGTTATGATAGGGGATGAGGGGTCCACTGTCGGGGAGGAGATATGGCTGGAGATATGGCAGCAGACTGGTAACGTTTGGGATGAGGATGACGAGAGAGAGGAGGAGGAGGAGGAGGGATGCTGCTTTATGGCTTGCTCTTCACGTCACTGCGATGATGCGCTCCTGCATGGCTCAACCAGACCTCAGCAGGCAGGCCGAGCAACACAGGGGAAGGGCCGAGTTTGTCCGCATCTCGAGCCCGACGGATGGGTTCTTGTTATTGCGGGGAGAGTTTGAGCCGCCGAAGCCCCTCGTAGTTACCTATGAGGCTGGAGTGAGGGAGGGAGATCACTTCGAATCCTCGGTGCTAGAGGTTGGGAGATGGTGCTGAAGCTGACTGGGCCCATGCACCAGGCCGAGTGCGGGTGGGGTCACGTGATAGTGCGTATGAACGACGAGGTTGTGAGGACGGAGATGGTGGAGGTAGGAGTGAACGAAGTCTCTATGATCCCTCCTGATGGTCAAGGTAGCCGGTGAGTCGACGCTGGCGTGAGCTGACCAGCTTCATGCTTGTAGGAGACATCAGGGTAACCTGGCTTTCCTCCTTCGGATCCCTATGTGCGACCGATCAAGTCTGAGCCGCTGCAGCCTCCTCAGCCTCCTCCTGCTCACAGATCTTCCAGGTGTCTGTGACGATGTTTGGTGTCCGTCTGCAGATGGTCAGAAGCCCGTAAGCGCGCTTGCTCCCCTGCTGCTCGGCGACTTCCGGAATCTGAGATGTTGATAGATGGGGAGCGGTGAAGGGGAAGGAGATGCTACAGCAGCCCTGGGTCCTCCTGTTCCCCCTGCTGCCTCAAGGTGGTTCGAGGGAGGTGCTGGTCCTGCAATGTGAGCATACACTTGCAGGTGCCGACGTCATCGTGCCAAACTTCACTGGGGTGGAGATCGTCGCGGCGTTGCTCATGGATGACAGGGAGAAATTTCTCAGCTCGTCAGTTTGCGGCTCTCACATACTCCCGGGGGGTCCAGCTGAGAGCATGTTGTCCTGGAACATGGCCAAGTTCGCTGGCATCGCGATAGACCAGTCTGGACTTCAGGTGCTGCGCTTCAGCGTAAGGGAGGGAGGGGGAACGGAGGGGGTGGCAGGCCCGAGGAGCTCCTGGGTGAGCGGTGTCACGAACCTGGACGTGGACGTGTTTGTGATGGGAGAGGAAGAGAGCCCACACCTGGACATGCGCAAGTGAAGGATGCTGCTTCTCTCCCTCCCCGCTTCTCAGCCTTGCGGCAGGGTGATTTCCATGGCCAGAACAAGCCTGCAGGAGCGAATCGCCTCCATAGCTGCTCGCAAGGTCGGGGAGGGGAGGAGCGAAGGGCGAATGGAGGCTGGGGAGCTGATGGCACCGTAGGAGGAAGGAGCAGACGCGCATGCGGCGGAGAGAAGATTGGTAGGAAGGGGGAGGAAGAGGTGTAAGGAGTCTGTGAGCTGGTCGGTACAGGAGCAAGAGCTTGACTCTGTTCCGTCTCTGCGCTCGCTGCTCGCAATGCTGCCGCCTGAGCCCAACGTGCTCGTGGACGAATGGACGAGAGTAGGAGATGGAGCTGAGAATGGCTCTCGTGAACTGACGTAAATCCTAAAGCTGTTGAAGCAAGCAGGTGCCAAGATGTCTGTCAGCGACTCCAAGGGAAGGGAAGAGAGTGGAGAGACTGGAAGAGAGAAAGGAGGAGAGACTGGAGGAGAGAAGATGCCGAGAGCGGGAGCGGATGAGGATGATGCGAAAGTTGCTGTCTGCCTCTCCGGTGCAATGAGAGGATCAGAAGCAAGTTTGATTCAGGTGATGACTGGCTTCGTGGTTCTCAGATGTGATCCTTTGCTGTGACTGCAGGAGATGTTGTTCTCCAAACTACCAAAGTTCGATCTCTTTGCTTACATCTTGAACGATGGCACGGCACCAAGTGGCTTGGCATCTGCCGCCTCGTCGCAGGTCCTGACATGCTGCCAGGGCTGATGTCGCTGTTCCCGACCCACAGCAAGATCGCGTCTGACCTCCCTTTGCAAACGAAGTTGATCGATGGACACTTGTGAGAAAGTTTTTGTGCTTCCTAAGAATATTCTTCCCCGTCTCGAAGTTGTTCTTCCCCGTCTCGAAGTTGTTCTTTGCTGTATCGATCGTTCTTGTTGTGGTTGTTTCGTACTCCAACCTCGTTCCCCATGACCGGTGAACCAGGTACGTCTATTACCATCCGAACAATCAAGAGCCTATAAGGAGGTGATGAGATTAGGGCGAAATTTCCAATACTTCCTCCTCTTACTCTTTCTCGTCCCTCTCCCTCTCCTTGTTCTCCTCCTCCTCCTCCTCCTCCTCCTCCTCCTCCTCCTCCTCCTCCTCCTCCTCCTCCTCCTCCTCCTCCTCCTCCTCCTCCTCCTTCTCCTCCTCCTCCTCCTTCTCCTCCTCCTCCGCTTTTTCCTCTTCCTCCTGCCCCTCTCCCTCTTTGCGCCAACCGCCCGACATCCATCTCATTCCCCTTGTGCTCCTCTGACGTGATGAGCAGCTGCGAGCAAGGAGCTCGTGCGGGAGCACAGGCTGCTGGAGAGAGTCAGAGCAGATCGTGTCGACTGGCGGAGAAGGAGCTTTCCGACACTTCCACAATGGAACTAGAGCTTTCTAGCTGCTGCTGCTGGAGGGCGAGGAGGAGAACGAGGAGGGGGAGGAGGAGGAGGAGGAGGAGGAAGGGGACTATACAGCAGGTGAGAAGGACGAAGTTAGGCTTATGATAGAATGCGGGGCTGGGGAATGGATGGCAAGGAGGAGGGAGGAGGGGTTTAATCTTCGTAGAATAAAACAGCGACGGGAGAGTAGCGGATAGCAAAGGCGAGCATGCAGCAGAGAATCTGAGAGAGCGTGAGGAGGGAGGAGAGAAGGGCAGGGGGTGAAAGTGACGGTGCAAAGGAGGAGGAGGAGGGGCAGGCGAAGAAGCAGGAGGAGGAAGAGACAGTCGTCCGTCAGTCAGGGAGTCAGGCTCGGGGAGGGAAGGTAGAGGGGAGGAGGAGAAGAGGGAAGGGAACGGGGGAGCAGGGAGGAGGAGAAGAGGGAATGGAAGGAGGAGGAGGAGGATATAGCTGACCTGGAAGGCAAGAAGAACGACGCACAGACTTCTTTCACTCATGGGGCCGAAGATAAGAAGAGTCAGGTTAACCTTGAAAGACTCATCAGGAAATAGGAAACATGCCATGAAGAGGGAGAGAATTCAGCAGGCACCAGGTTGAGATTTTCTTTCTGTCCTTCGAGAAGTTTTGTCTTGAGGTTGTAACTGCAAGAACATCAGGATAAGGAGAGCTGAAACGAACGGGAGGACCAGAGGAGGAGGAGAGGAGAGAGGAGAAGAGGATAGCAGGAATAGAAAAGGAGAAGGGCAGCAGGAGCAGGAGCAGGAGCAGGAGCAGGAGCATACCGGGGAAGACGATGGCGAGGACAGAAAACGATCCCAAGGAGCTGAAGGAGAGCAGTTTAAACCCGAAGTAACAAGCCAAGGGAGAGGAGGAGGGTATGAGAGCATGGGGAGGAGGAAGAGAAAGGAGAAAAGGTCTAGGGCAGAAATGCGGCGAGAGAAAGAAGGGAGGAGCAGCAGAGAGGAATAGAGCTTACAGGGAACGAGTCAGGCAGGCAGGCAGGCAGGCAGGCAGGCAGGCAGGCAGGCAGGCAGGCAGGCAGGCAGGCAGGCAGGCAGGCAGGCAGGGACGTAGGGAGGGAGGGAGGGAGAAAGGGAGGGAGGAAAGATCGGAAGGCAAGGCAGCACGCAACATACCTGTGGAAGAGAGTAGATGAAGTTGATCAGCTGCGGGATGAAGAAGAGGAGGAGAGTCTTCGAAAAATGACCGAGAATCTGCAACAGGGGTGAGGGGATGGGGCAGGCCGCTGGATGGAGCAGGAGCAGGAGCAGGAGCAGGAGCAGGAGCAGGAGCAGGAGCAGGAGCAGGAGCAGAGGAAGAGGTTTACCCCGACGACTGCAAATGTCATCCCAGCAAAGTAGCAAAAGGTATCTCCGACAAAAACGCGCGAAGGAAACCTAGAAGTAGAGATTGAGATGAAACAGAACAAGGCAAGTGAGAAGTAGAAGGTAGAAGGAGGAGTAAGAGAAGGAGAAGGAGAAGGAGAAGAAGGAGAAGGAGAAGGAGAAGGAGAAGGAGAAGGAGAAGAAGGAGAAGAAGTAGGAGAAGGAGAAGGAGAAGGAGGAAGAGGAGGAGGAAGAGGAGGAGGAGGAGAAGGAGAAGGAGAAGGAGAAGGAGGAAGAGGAAAAGAGAAAGGGAGGAATGAAGACAAGGAGAGGGGCAAGGGTCAGGCAAGCCCACAAGGAAGTGACACATCGGTTTGCAGCAGCAGACTTTCAGCCCACCAGTTGTGCTTGAGGAGAGCAAGAGAGGTTGCGACGAAGGGGATGAGAAAGAAGATGGAGAAGAGATGAGCAGCGCCCGACCTGCGATAGCAGTCAGGAGGAGCAGGAGCAGGAGCAGGAGGTCGACAGGGCGAGAGGGAGGGAGGAGGAATAGAGGAGGAGGAGGGGAAGAGAAGGAGTAGAGGAGAAGTAAAGGAGTAGAGGAGTAGGAGCAGAGGTAGGAGCAGGAGGGCGAGGAGGTGCCGGAGCGGGAGTAGGAGCAGGAGGTGTCGTTGAAGATTGATTTCTCACTCAGATGAAAGCTGCATCAGGTTGTGTATGATCACAGCACACGCTATGATGTAAGATTGCCCAACCTGCACATCTCGATCAGCAGCCTTGCTCCCAATATCGCCCAACTTTCACCTCCAGTCCGTTGATCCCCGCAAGGATGTTGATGCTGTTGGAGCAGAAGACTGAAAGGAGGCACATGTAGACCTTCAAATCCACCGCGTCATGCTCGACCCGCCCCTGCCTCCTCCTCTCTGCCGCCCGATAATCCCTTCCTCTTCTCCCTCTCCCTACCACCTTCGTTCCTCCTCTTTCTCCTCTCGTCACTTCCATTCACAACCTCTGCCTCTGCCTCTGCCTCTGCCCCCCCATCTCCCTGACCCTCTCCCTCTTCCCATCTCTCTCCCCGTCATCCCTTCCTCCTCCCATCTCTCTGACCTTGTATAGGATCCCCAACTCAACGACACGGCCAAAGATGGCAGCGAGCGGATTGGGGAGTATCACGGTGGTCGACCCCGCGTAAGATATCTGAGAGGTCGTGAGAAAAGAGGGAGGAGGAAGGAGAACGGGGAAGGAGGAGGGAGGGGGAAGGGAGGAGGAAGAGAAGGGAAGAGGGAGGAGGAGGAGGAAGAGGGTGGCGGGGCAGGGGGTTAGAAGAAGAAGACAGGGGAAGAATGGAGGAGCGAGTGAAAAGTTCCTACGAAGCTTCGGGACAGGCGATGGACAGCAGGAGGGGGGGGGGGGGGGGGGAGGGAGGCGAGAGGAACTCACGAGGAGGGGAAGGGAGGCGATGGTTGGGAGGATCAGTTTGTATCTCCAGCGCAGGTCTGGGAGTTGGTCAATTGGGAAGAAAAGAAAGGGAGCGTAAGAGCAGAGGTAGCAGGAGAGGGTGCAAAGAGCTCGGCTGAGTGGAGATGACGGGGGGAAGAGAGAGCGGAGTAGGGCAAAGGAGAGCTAACAAACTAGGGGGAGAAGAGAGGAGGAGAGGAGAGGAGGAGGAGGCAGAGAGGAGGAGGAGGAGGAGCAGAGGAGGAGGCGAGGAGCAGAGGAGGAGAGAGGAGAGGAGAGGATATATCAGGAAGTCACGACGGTGGTAGTTTTGTTGAGGAGGGCAGGAGCAGGAGCAGGAGGAGCAGATCTACAATCAGCCCTCGAGGCTGAGCACGAAGGAGGGCAGGGAGGAGGGCGTACCGAGAACATCGTCGGCAAACCCCAGGAACCTGCAGCCAAGACAATCAGACCGGAGGGAAGGACGGGAGACAGAAATCCTTCACATCATGAAGATGGTAGCGGCAAGGGCAGCGTTGTACTCTTCGAGCTTCACCTTCCACACTGAAGCTGCATCCGCCACTGTGTAGTAGTAGACTTGGAAGATGATGACGCATATCATGTGCACAGTGCCAACAACGATGCCCAGGGATTCTGGCCTGGAAGTTTCCCATCAATTTCTCTTCCTTCCGATGCCGCCCCGTCTCCTCCTTCTCCTACTGCTCCTCCTGCTCCTGCGCCTGCGCCTACACACACGTCCTGCTCCTCTCCCTGCCCTCCCTCTCATCCCCTTTACGCTTTCTTGATGTGACTTGTTCTCCCTTGCTCCCTCTTTCACTCACTCCTCCTCTTTCACTTCTTTCCCTCTCTGTTCTAGTTTCTGTCCCCTCGGCACTCCTCCCCTCCCCTCCCCTCCCCTCCCTCCCCTCCCTCCCCTCCCCTCCCCTCCCTCCCCTCCCCTCCTCCTACACTTTCATATCTCCTTCAGGAGTTCCCTTCTTGTTGATGTCAAAACCTCCAAGTCCCGCTTTCAGAGTCCATTCCTTGACCTGCCAACATTCTCCTCAATTTCCTCTCCCCTCGCCATGGCGGCCCATACAGTCAAGATGAGCCGATCGGTCAGGAAGAAGGAGAACACTGAAACTCCTGCATGCTTGTCTTCAGCCTCTCTCCACCTTCTGCACCTCCTCTTACCGCAGAGCGCAGAGACAGGGCCCCATAGCAGGGGATGGACTCGAACGATGCTGCCAGCACCTCCTCAGCAAGCTCATCATGAGCGCAGTGCAGGAGTCACCTGATGAGAAAGATGCACACCAGAGAGACCTGAAAGCTCAGGGTCATGCGAGGCCGCGGATTCATGGCGGACAGGCTGCTTACCGGCAAGATGGCCAGAAGGAAATTGTTGGAGGTCAACAGGCGGAGGGAGTCCATGGCAAGGAGAGAGTCTGCAGAGAACCTGTAGGAGTGAGCAGTGGGGATGGTACAGGAATGAATGCAAGCCACGCTTCTGCCCTTTCCTTTACACTGATCTCGACCATGGGCCAAGTTCCCAGCACCCTCCCTGGAATGTGTCTTCTTCCTCCTTCTCCTCTTGTTCGTCTAACTTCTTCCTGCCCTGCCCTTCTCCTATCCTGCGTCTCCTACTGCTGGTCCTCCTCCTTCTCCTCCTCCTCCTACTACTACTACTACTCCTACTCCTCGTAATGCCCCCTTCCACCTCCCTCTCCCCTCCCCCTCCTGATCCTCCTAAAAATCCCTTCGGCCATGGTGATGATGCACTGTAGCGGGGGGGGTGGGGGTGAGTTGGGTAGGCTAACAAGGGGTCATGAAAGTACCCGTGATTAAATATACCGGTGCAATTGCCCAACTTTCAGGCGGTAATTGTTGATTTCTTGTAGGTAGGGTGGTTAAGGATAAGGAGTAGGGTTCGAAAGTCAGGGGTAGGGGGTGGTGGTTAAGTCGGATCAAACCAAAGGATGCGACTGATGGGAATGGAGGAGGAGGAGCGGGCAGGGGAGTTAGGAGAACGCATGAAAAGTGCAAGGGATGGAGAACAGCCAGGGAGGAAGATAAGGGAGATAATGCAGAAGCGATGATGGGATTGAGATGAAAACTTTCGTTAGGAACTATCTTTCACGTGAGACGATTGTTCTTGTCCGATTTGTGATCAGGGTATCACTCAGTGCGAAACTTCGAGGGGGTGAAGAAGAGGGTTGAAGGGGGGAGAGGAAGGGTCCTTATACTTGTAGAGTGTTGTCGATCATATCAGGTCTAGTATCTCTCTCTAACTGGCACCTGGTGGTCAGATCTTCATTCGCCGTCTCGCCTCTTCTGCGCTGCATGCTTGGATGTCGTTGGCATTCAAGTAATGCACCATTGCTTCCGCATCACTTTCTTGTCCATCTTATCAGGGTCGTGGGGTCTGACTGGCCGAGGCGGCTCGACACGTAGGATGCTGCATAGCAACATGTCGGGTGAGAGCAGCGCGAGTTTCTTCAGGCGGGAGTGGAGGAGCAGAGAAACAGAGAGCGGAGGGAAGAGCTTGGTAGTGGCTCAGTTCAACGTGCTGGCGGATGGCTTGAGCGGCATGGACGTCAACAAGGGCGGCTTCTGCATGTCGTCGCCGGTGTGCCTGGCATGGGAGCATCGCCGGCAGAAGCTTGTCGACGAGATCATGCGGCATGGCGTTCAGCCGGATATCGTGGCGCTCCAGGAAGTGGATCACTTCCATGACTGGTTCGAACCCGTGCTGGGGAGGATGGGATATGACGGGATCTTCTTGCCGAAGCCCGACTCGCCATGCAGGAGGAGCATGGACCCGAGCCTGCAGGATGGCTGTGCGCTGTTCTGGCGGAGAGAGACGGTGAAGTTGAAGGAGAGCGAGATGGTCAACTACGAGGTCCTCGGCCATGACAAGAACCCGATGAAAACCAACCAGGTGAGGCAGGAGCACGTTGAGGAAGGGGGAGAGGAGGGGGAGAGGAGGGGGAGGAGGGGGCTGAAGGCAGGCAGAAGACGTTTGAGGGAGTGAGGACAAATTGATGAAGTGATGGGAGGAGGAGGAGGAGCGAGTGGGGATGGAAGGGCGGGGGTGGAGGGAGAGGAGGAATCCAAGGCTCACATGACGCGTCCGACAGGTCGCGATCCTCGCAGAGTTCGAGCAGGAGGGGGTAACTCCTTTCTGGTTCGCCGTGACCCACCTGCACGCGAAGAAGAGCGAGGAGGGAGAGAAAGTCCGATGTCAGCAGATCCAGCAGCTGCTCGACCGCCTGCTCAGCAAGCGCTCCCCCTGCCTCCTTGCCATGGACATGAACGCGGCCCCCAAGTCCAACGGTCTGGCGAGCTACCCCGCCTTGGCGTACGAGGCGGCTAGGAAGCATCCTCTGGGACTCTCCAGCGCGTACGAGGAGGTCATGGGGGAGGAGCCCCCCTTCACGACGTGGAAGCTACGGGGAGAGGTAGAGGCCAAACACACCATCGACTACATCTTCATGACTGGGGAGCTGGAGGCCACCCGGGTCCTGGAGCTGCCGGACGAGGGGGAGGTGGGGCCCGAGAGGCTCCCGAGCTGGTCTTACCCGTCTGATCACTTCGCGCTCCTGGCGGAGATAAGGAGGAGGAGGTGAGGGGGGAAGGAACATGGTGACTGCTGCTAGCTCCCTGCCTCCTCCCCTCCCTTCCTGACCTTCTCCTCCAACACTTTGAATATTGTCAATCTAAGAAATTTTGAATTCGTTTTTTGTCCCCCCCCCCCAGCTGAACTCTGTCCCCTGCCCTCCTGCCCTCCGACTTCATGCTCCTTCTGCTGCGGCTCAACCACCCTCCTCCCATCCTCCTCTCACACCGAAGGAGGCAGAGAAGTTGGTGAAGGTGTGTTTTACCGGTCAGAGGAGACAGGCAGGAAAAACTCACTTCCTCTTCCATGAGAAAACCTTGACCCTGCATGATCGTCAGTGCCGGGAAGGGGGAGGCAGGAGGAGCGATACTTGTACAAGGAGCCATCGGAAGCTCTCCTGTTGTTGAAGGTCACGAAGCTGTCCTCCTTGTCTGAAGCAGAAGAATCAGACTTCGAACAACTCATAGCGACCAACACCCCACTCCTCCTCCTCTCCCTCTTTCTCTCTCTCCCTCTCCCTCTCCCTCCCTCCCTCTCTCCTTTCCCTCGCTCCCTCGCTCCTTACTTCTCCTTGACTTTCCTCACCTGCAATCAGTCGGTAGACAAGACTCAATGACGTCCCAATATCAACCCCTCCGATCCTGCACTCTGCGTCAGCTCCCCTGCTCCTTCCATGCCCCTGCTGTCATCCCCTCCTCCCCTCACTCCTCCCCCTCCTCCTTTTCCTCTCCTCCTCCTCCTCCCCCACTCTTCCTCTCCTCGCCTCCTCGTCTCCCCTCCTCTCTCCGCTCCCTCACTTCAAGATCTCGTCTCCGACTTTGATCGGCGGGTCTGCTCGTCCTGCCGAGGAATCGGGCTTGACGTCTGCAACCTGACTACAAGGTGAGGGAGGAGGAGGAGGAGAAGGGTCGGGAGAATGATAGCAGGCCAGGAATCGGCAAGTCACGAAGAGGTGAAGATGGTAGGCGAAAAGACTCAGAGGAGGAGAAACTAAAAAAGAAGAGAGGGGAGAGAGCGTTGGAACGAAGAGGAAAACTCACCACGATCTTGTTGTCGGAGGTTAGTGCGATCGCTAACCCGATCCCCCCCTGCATGGCCTTTCACACTCCTCTCCTCTTCTCTCCTCTCTCAAGAGAATTACCTGCGAGGGAGGCTTTTTTCTTTCTGCTTCCTCCTCCTCCTTCCCATTGAGAGATCTGTCGCTCGTCTCCGCCTCCTTGACACCTCCCATCTTCCCCGCTGCCTCCAGTCTCGGCCTGAAATACCATCATTTCCTCTTCTCTACTCTACATGCCCTACGTTTGCTCCCTCAAGATCCGTCGCTTCAAGCTCACAGAGTACGATCCAGCCTTGTCGTTGCTTGCGGAATGTCAGGGGGAGGCAAACCCAGCAAGGGAGGGAGGGACGAACAGTCGAGAGGGCAGAGCAAGACGGGGAAGGAGAAGGAGGAGGGGGATGGGGAGGAGAGAGGATATGAAGAGGACCATAGAGTGAGGCTGACGAGACTTTCAGGTTCGCCGCTGATTAAACTCCCTGCTCACAGATCAGAGGTCGGAGGAGAAACAAGGCGGGCAGTGGTAGAGCGAAAGCCAGGAGACCGTGCTAGAGGTGCCGAGAGTACGAGGATTGTGAAGGAGGAGGAAAGGAAAGTCAATACCGATCACGTCGAAGTCTAAATGCAAGCATTGGGTTCCTCCAACTGCGATCTACGTTGAGGTGTCAGCTCCATTGATCCTCCGCTCACACCATCATCGTCGTCGTCGTCGTCATCATCATCATCATCATCATCATCATCATCATCATTATCGTCGTCGTCGTCGTCGTCGTCATCATCATCATCATCATCATCATCCCCATCATCATCATCTCCATCATCATCTCCATCATCAATTTCTTCCTCGTCATCATCGTCGTCATCTCCATCATCATCGCGAGCCCCCTCCTCCTCCTACCAGCTTGTCTCCGGGGGAGATCAAACCACACTCAGCAGCAGGTGACTGAGGATGAATCTGCAAGCTCGTTATGGTCGGACTTTCTCAGGAGGAGGAAGACTACCGCGACCACGACAACCTCGTCCGGGTCATCCGAAGGATTCCCAAGGGCCAATCCAACACCAGCCCTCCTACAACCCTGTCAGGCTCGCAAGGTCGCAGCATTGGACGAGGAGGACGAGGATAAGGATGAGAACGAGCTCGAGCACGACGAGGCCTTCTAGAGAATAGAGGAGCAAGAGCAAGAGAAGGAGCAGGATAATGGAAGGGAGGACGAGGACGAGGCTGACCGAGCGCTGGTCGGAGTCGACTCCCTCGAGTTGAAAGACAAGGCAGGAGGAGTCGTCGTGGGGACGTTGGCTGGCCTTCCCCGCGCGTTCTCGGGGGGCGTCGAGTTCCCTGCTGCTTCTCTCAAACTTGCACCAGCGGAAGGGAGGAGAGGAAAGAAACCTCTGCTCTCAGTCTGCCGCATCTCCTCCTCCTTTCGCGCAGCTGGCGCACGATCTGCTTGCGCGAACATGTTCCTGACGATCTTGGTCGGAGTGGCCTCCACCAGCCTTGAATCCATCTTGAGTGCCTCCCTCCGGATCGCCGCAACCTCCTCCTCGTCCAGCTCTGTGTCCGACGGTTTGACTTCGTTCTCGTGGTACAATCGCTTGAGGACAACATTGAAGCGGACAGGCTGCAAAATAAAAAGTCATTTCTGCCCCTGCGCTGTCATCGTATTTCCATCCACACTAGAATCTCTGCTTGCTCCTTCCCTCACCCCTCCCTCCTCATGTCATCGAATTACCATCACGCTCCACCATGCCTTGTCGCGCTGGATGGAAACATTGACCTGCGCCATCGTCATCCTCCCCTCACCCTTCCTTCTCCCATCACCGTTGTCCCGGTCTTCCCCCACAGCTTCCACGAGACTTCTTTCCCCCCCAAATCCTCCACGTTCTCTCCGTCTACCGCCACACTGTTAAGTAGCAAGTAAGGGACCAGTAATCGCTTCCTCTCCCACCGACATTCTGTCTCCTATCTGCACATCCCCGGATCTTGCAGCAGCCCCACCATTCAGCAGGCGCTGCACGGCGCATCCCTTCCCCATGTTCTTCAGGATCAACCCAACCTGCACAAGACAAGAAACGTCATCCTCTATTAGTCGATTCCTTTACTCGCCCCACTTTTCAGCATCTTGTCCCTCCCTCCCTCCCTCCCTCCCCAACTCCCTCCCTCCCTCTTCCTCACTGACCCCGGCTTCTGAAGGAACGCTATCTCTCTGCGTCAGCTCCCCGTCCTTCTTGACATTCTGCAACAACTCAACTTGAAGAATCATTCGGGGAGCCAAGGGACCTGGCTTGACCGAGCATGGAGCGAGGGGTCCAGGACGAGCATGAGCGTGTTGGTCAGGTCTTTGCCCATCGCCACAGAGGAGGTCTTTTCAGGAGTCTCGGCATCTCTCTGAGATGGAGGGGGTTGGAGAGGTTTCGCCGGTTTCTCCTTCTCTGGGGTCTTCTTCATCAGGAAGTCGCCAACAGAGAGGAAAACTCCTGAGGCAGACTTGACCGGGTCGATGGCGTTGGGATTCTCCGAGTACAGGTGCGCAGGGAGCCGCCCGTCCTGGCTCGTCCTAATTTCGTGCACCAACGGCCTCCTCTCAAGCTCGTGCGAGCTGTTGGCAGCCTGCGCGTCTCGCACATCCTGCTGCTCCTTCTTGTCTTGCTCTGATATCGACTTGGAGATCATGTCGCCCAGCTTCTCGATCGCTGATGTCGCTTCTAACAACGGCGTCTTGTGAGCAAGCCTGACGCCTCCCTTCTTGCTCTTCACGTCGCTATGGTTCGTCTCCGCACTCCCCACATCTTCAGCTTCTGCCCCACGAGTTGCCTGCTCTCCTGCTCCTTGCTCGGCCGCAAGTTGTTGCTGACCTCTCCGACTTGTGGAGCTCACTTTCCCGGGCACGGATGCAGATTCCTGTTCCCTCTGGCTGGATGCGTGAGAGGATTCAAGAAGCCCTCCGATCTTCGTGCAGAAATCTCCTGGCGCTGTGAACAGATCAGGGAACAACTGCTGGCGAACTTCTCCGTTCTCAGCTCCTCCGGCACTCCTCGAGGACATAGCCGACGAGTAGCCGTTGGCACTCGACTGTGCAATGGGGGAGTAACCGAGCTTCATGTCGGCCGGGGACTCCACGGGCCTGCAGAGGGTCGCGAGCGAGACTCTCTCCAGCAGTACTTCACGAGATTGCTTGTCGGTCTTGGACGAGGCGATGATAAGGGTAACCTACGGCAGGAACGCGTCACGAGATTGCTGTTGCCTTCAGCCATTCCTTCGAACCTTTGTGCCAACCTCCCCTAGGAAGCGGGACTTGATGCGAGAGAGCGATTCAGTCGCCACGTCGACCCCGTCCACGAACAAGATGCGATCTCCTTGATGCACTAGATTCTGCAAGACATTATTTCAGCCCTACATCTTGTTTGCAGACAGTATGGTGTGGCGAGGACAAAACTGGGATGAAATCGTACAGAAATAACGAACAGGGTGAACGAGATTACAGTACATATCATCACAACGCGAAACACAACTAAAAGTCATGAAGGATGTCGTATAACCGCCAAGAAACACAACAAGACCCAGGGAAACGATACCTTGGTGCTCTGCGGCACGCAAGGCGACATTGAGTTGATAAGGATGTAACCCGTCGACTCCTCTTGCACAAGTTCCAGTCCAACTCCTCCTGTCAACTCCCGGGCACGGCCAGGAGACGCGCCCATCATGAGCTGCTTGGCTGCGGGCGATGATGGCCTTGCCTGGTCGATCCGCTCGTTGCACTCAATCCAGTACTGGCGGCTGGGGAGGGAAGTAAGGGACGTAACATGAGCAGTCTCACGGGAGGAGGAAGGTGGAGGTGAAACCGCAAGCATCCACATATGAAGAAGAGATTTGATACAAGAAGGACAGTACATCGCAAGATATGGCAGGAGATTGAGGGGAACTCATGCAAGTAATGATATGATGAAGATCGAAATGCAAGGCGCGATAGGCTTGCCTGCGATTTCTGAAGAACTCGGCGAACACCTCATAACTGATCAGCTTGTCCTCTGACTTCTCGGAGAGGCTGATCACTTCCTTGACCATCTCTTTCCTGATCTCGTAGCTGAACGCAGGATATCCTGACATGAAAGTCGCCCATAGCTTGTCCGCAAGCATCAGGACTTCCCTGGTGTTCAGCCCGTCTTCTGAGCCAACATCATTGAAGTGCTTCCTCATGATTTCATCAGATATGTAGAGCTGGCTCTTTCTCCTCTTCTTCCAGCTCTCCTCGTCCTCCTCCTCTCTCCCTGCCCCTCCCCGCGGCTTTCGCATCACCAGCGGCATTCCCCGATCGCAATGCTTGCAGGTGACGAAGGGGTAGGGGTTGATATAGAGTCATGGTAGGGGTACTCAATAAACGGGTTCTAATTCCATTTGACAGGGGTTAAAATGTAGGGTAGGGTACTCACCCCTTCTGGACAGGAAAGCAAGGGGTGGGTAATGCGTATCGAGCTTGTGGGTACGGTCCAGGGACATGTGGGAAGGACGGGCGCACAGGGCGTGGGAATTTAGTACCCCCTTCGATAATTATATTAAATAAATTATGACCTAACAATGACATCTATTGGTGGTACTTTGAACGGTAAAGGGGGGGGGTGAAGGTTTTTGATAAAGAACAAATAGCTTTTTCGGTAAGGCGAAAATCATTGGATTATTTCAATGATGATCCAAAATCCCAAGGTTTTGAAAATACCTGTAGCTTTCATGAGGGACCCCTCCTTTGTATACTTAAGTACCCACCATCCAAGGAAACGTAAAGTACCACTACCCCCTCAATTGCGCATATTGGAAACATGGCATCGGAGTTTTTCATGACTCGGTACGGATTATGTCTGGGGGTAGGGTACCGGACCCCATCAGACTACCTACCCTCATTGATTACTCCCAAAAATCTCTGCCATACGGGGTAGCCTCCACCAATGCAGATTGAAAACCAGGGGTGTCATCTGTGAAGTGTATTTAGAAGAGGGGGTGGGGTGGGGTTGTGGTGGGGTTGGCGGGAGGGATGAGGGCATACTGAGGACTGTAATGGTGATCGAGGCACGGGAGGGAGAGCACAGCTGAGAGAGATCGGGAGGAGGAGAGGTAGGAGAGCAGAGCGAATGAGTAGTACGCAGCAGCAGCAGCAACAACAACAACAACAACCAACAACAGCGATATTGGGTGCAACGACAGCATCAGGGACAGTGTGTATGTCCAGGGTGGTAGAAATTTTCCTAGCAGCGTGAAGCACAAACTGACGGTAGGCAGCAGACAGCATTTCGGTATCAGTGAGGGAGGAGACTAAAGATCCTCGGGTCACATCCCACCTCTGAATCGGCTTGCAGCTAAATCCATCATGCCGTTGCTGCACCAGCCTGCTGAGCTGATCAATTCCCTACGGGAGCAAAACCCCCTCGTTATGTGCATCCAGAACTACGTCGCCATGGACTTCTCCGCTAACGTCTTGCTCGGTGACTTGCCCTCTTGCCATTGCACTTCTCCTTACCCCCCGTTGCTCAGCGGCTGGGGCATCTCCTGCCATGGTCAATGCTGTAGAAGAAGCTGAGGGGTTTACCAAGATCTCTTCCGCTCTCTCGATAAACGTGGGCACTGCGCTGACGCCGCACTGGATCAAGGCGATGGAGCTCGCAGCGTCCACCGCCCATGACTGCGGGAAGCCCTGGGTCCTTGATCCTGTTGGCTGTGGGGCAACAGCACATCGCAACGAGCAGTGTGCCATGCTCATGGAACGGCGGCCTACGGTCGTCCGTGGCAACGCCTCCGAGATCATGGCTCTGGTGACTCAGGCTTGGTGCTCTTGGTATGCCTGACGACTTGCCTGCAGGCGAACGCTTGCAAGGTGGAAGTAGTGGGTGGGGGCAGCGCTGGGGGCGGGAAGGGAGTTGACAGCACCGCGGGGTCGGAGGAGGCCCTTCCTGCGGGGATAGCCCTGGCGAAGCGCTTCAAGTGCGTGATTGCCATATCCGGAGCTGTCGACATCATCACAGACGGGTCTACCAAGGTGCTGATACGCAACGGCCAGGTAAGGGAGGCAGCAGGGCCGCTGCCACAGCTGCGGTCCGCGCAGTGACGTTCGGCTGTCAGGAGATCTTGACCAAGATCACAGCAGCTGGCTGCTCTCTGAGCACGCTATGGTCAGAGGCCAGCTGAGCGTGCTGATATTGTCTGTTGACCATCAAGTTTGCAGCGCTGCCTACTGTGCAGTTTGCAACTCGGCCCTGGACGCGGTCACAGCTGCCTTCTTGCACTTCTGCATCGCTTCAGATATGACGGCGGTAGGAAACTCTGCTGACGCAGATGCTGCCCTAAGATCTTGATGACAGGAAATGGTGGAGGTGAAGGGTCCAGGTACCCATAGGGTGCATTTGATCGACAATGTAGGCCGACTTGAGCAGAAGGGAGAGCTGCTGACTTGTTGCAGTTGTACAACCTTAGCTCTGCAGCACTCGCCGATCGGGTAAGATTAAGAATATACCTCTCTCTGTTTGCAGAGGTCAAAAACTGATTACATAGCCTCAGGCAAAATTTGAAGTTCATGAACTTTAAACAGTACTGCTATGATACAAGAAGATTGCTTTTGCAAGGAGTAAAGGGAAACATGTTTAAGTGATGAAATACTCGTCGCATCTGTCAAGATCCTTTTGCTGGTTGTCAAGCAATATCAGGTCGATTGATACCGATGACACTTGAATATCCCTTACCTGTAAGGGGGAAATGCAGACACTATAGCTGCTGTTCTTACACTCTCTTGACATCTGCAGAGCTCCCTGATTGCCAGTCGTGAGTGCAAGGCCTCATTCCATCCTATTCAGGTCCATTACCAGGTTCCTCCCCATGTTCCAATGATTACACTCCCTTTGACTCAAACGGGTGCTTGCGAGCAGAGACTGACCAACGTTGTCGAAGACTTCTGCTCGATCAACAAGGAGCAAGCAACAAGAGGCAGTGAGCAAGGATAAGAGACAGAGCAGCACATTCACCGAATGTGGTCGATAACGGCTCCTTCCTGATTCTAAAGAGGAATGGGATCGAATAGTTCCAGACCCCTTCTAGCACCTTGAGAGTCTCGTTTCCTTCTCGCGTCTGAAGGGCTCAAAGGTCAGTCTGCCCTGCAGGCATCACTCGTCCCTCCTCACCGATAGAGCTGCAACTTGAACTTGCCCTGCATGTCGACAAAACCCTCTCAAGGGCCCCCCGTCCGCTGCAACCACTTTCAGTGCGATATGACACCCTTGCGACCGTCGGGTACCGTCGACGCATTCAGGATGCTGTCTATACAGGAAACTGTCGGAGTCTGCGTCTGATACGGAGTCCGGCAGGGTGGATCGAGGGCTCCAACTAAACGCAAGCAATGTGAGTAGGCAGAGACAAAATCAGGACAGGAGTTCGACCGCTGGTAGGCGTTTAGCACTTCCATGCTCCATCCCTTGAACGGCATCCGAGCTTGAGCAGCGTGCACAGAGACATCAGAGACATCGCGTTGTCATGCATGCAACGACGCCGGTCGCATACCGATGCCGTGTGTGTACCCCAGGACGCCGCACCTCGTTGCTCCGAATATCCTCGTCCACTCCCTCCACTGAGGAACGAGAGCACGAGACTGAGGCGCGAACGGGAAGGGATTCACTTCACTGACCTCGCACGATGAGGAGTCCTCGGGAGGAAGGAAGGTTGCCAGGGCACAGATGAACTAAGGAAGATAGTTCTCATCAGGGGGTTTATCTGATAATGCTCAGGGAACAAGTTTGATCAGTCACTACCCTGTTTGACGAGATCCGGGTCGAGATCGAGTGGGCTGCGAGCTTCTCCTCCTGCTCTCCTGCCTTCCTGCATTCTCTTCCCCTTCCCGCCTCACCATATAGTGCCATGCTCAAAAGCACCAGCGAACAAGCAATCATGCCTTTCCTTTGCATGGATCTATTTTGCATGGACTGGGAAAACTTGACCCGGCTAGTCAATTCTGAGGCTTTTTTTTCGGTTTGTGCCGTGCTCCTGGAGTCCGCCCGGCAGCAGGCCGGGGCCCGGGCCATTTGATACGCTTGCCCACTCACCGGGCGAGAAGAGATAAGACAACGAGAACCAAACAGTCCCCCAATCCTGCCAACTGCTGTCTTCCAGACTAGTGCATCGCTACTGAGTCATGGCCGAGCATGGCCGAGCCCGGGCCGGGCGTGCCGCCGGCAGTCACTTCCGAGTCCGAACTTCCGAACTTCCCGGCCCGGGGTCTAGCCGCGTAATATATCATCCCCCTCATTCCTTCGCTCACCAGTCGCATGCGACCGTGCTTGTGAAGGTTCGGTAGCGACGAGTCGCAAGGGAAAGAGGCGAAACTAGACAGCTCTGAAGAGACGAAGAGGAGGAGCTAGGAGGAGCTAGGACATCAAGAGCACTGAGAGCCACTGCATCCTCCACGTGTTACAGCATTTCACTTCTTGTCACAGATGGCGTTTTCCATGTGCATACATCATGCTTCCAGAAGGCACCTCTTCACTATATCTCTCCTTCTCGTCATGTTTGTCTCCTTTGCCAAGGAGAGAGTCTACGACGACGACGACCAGCTCTTGGAGAGAATTTTGGCACGGCAAGCACGGGCCAATGAGGACAGGAGAAGAACTTCAGCAACCCTTTTGGGTGAGGAGGCTGCGATGAACCGCAAGAGACGTACCAAGGCGGCAAACATGAACCCCCACCAATACAAAAAAGAGTCGACTGATCGCGAGAGCCTCAAAACTCAGGCGATCTTCCAGGAGGCTCAGCGGCAGAGGATCCGAGCGGCGGATCGAGAGGGGAAGGAGGACGTTTACTTGCTGAGAGCGCAGGACCGAGCTGAGAACATGGAGTTCCTGGTAGACTGCGACATTGACTTCTACTCCAAAGCCTATGGAATCATCGACAAGTGTACACCTGTTTCTGCGTCGTCCTGCCGTCGGATAGTGCGGGATGATTTTGCCACCACCCGAGAATGCAAGCTGCTCCTTGACGCCACGGAAGTCGCGATGAAGAACCTCTTCCACCGGGGAGGATCCACCAGCTTGGCTCCTGTGCATGGCCCCAGTGCGGAGCGCCTTGGCGTGAAGGGAAAGACTCTGTTCGACTACCTCATCAACAAGATTCGGCTCCAGGTCATGCAGGAGTTCGATCTCGACTTCCTCTACAACAGCGGCGCTCTGCTGACGAGGCTCAAGGGTGAGGTGCCGAAGGATGACTGGGAGATGGATCCGAATCACATCTACTGGAATGCTCATGTGGACAAGGCCAACATCCCGACTTACGACTACTCAGCACTCCTGTACCTCAACGACTGCCACGAGGACTTTGAGGGAGGCGAGTTCGAGTTCATCGACGATGATGTCAATCGAGTCGTAGAGCCGCGGGCTGGGAGGCTCCTCCTCTTCACTTCCGGTCCCGAGAACTTACACAGAGTTAGGAAAGTGACTGAGGGAACGCGATATGTCCTTGCAATGTGGTTCACTTGTTCAGGTCTGTGGAGTAGTTTACTCGAAGATATTTTGGTTCTGATCTCACAGCGCAGCGATACATCAGTATCAGGATGATGAGCCGCCAAAGAGCCGTAAGGCCGAACAGCAGGTGGATGGGTACAAGACTCTGAACCCTCATCGATTGATTGAAATCTGCAGGCCATGGCACTCCGAGCGGAAAATGAAGACCTTATCAAGGCCAACAAGCTTCTGGCAAAAGTGAACGAGAAACTGCAGAAAGACGTCGAGCAGCTTGCGAAGTCAACCCAGCAGTGCAGGAGCACACAGGGCCAGAGATCGGCAGCGGGGAGCGAAGAAGCGAAGAAATCGAAGGGAGGAAGAGAGAAAGAGATGCTCGAGGACATGGCGATCAAGAGGAGGCTGGCAGCTGAGGTTGAGTTCGCTAAGAAACGCCTGGCTGCTGCCAAGGAGGTCAGTCCATGCCCTCTTTCTTCTCCATGGGATGTTGTGTCTCCTCCCCTGGTTCTGTTTTCTTCCTTCCAACACTTCACAGGCTGCAAGCTCCTCGAAGGCGAGCGGGAAAGCGGGAACCAAGAGGTTTGCAAGGGAGCCTGACAGGCACAGACAGCTGACCCCTCTTTCCAGGTGCTTCGACGTCGAGAGCTGCTCTCAGGAATACGAAGAGTGAACCATTGCTTCCGTCAAAGATTTGCGTGAGGGCTTGACGGGAGATTCCGATGCCGGGTCAGTGAAAGTTGTGCACGGTCGCCTGCTCCTCGTTGTGCTCCACTCTGTCCTCGCACTCTCCATCTTTCAACTCGCTCGCTATTCCTTGAGCAAATCAAGAAGTGCTTGGAAATCTGGACTCTTCTTGAGGGCAGCATAGTCTACAAGCTCAAACAAGAACTCTATGGGGCATCTGCTCACGTCATTCTTCAGGAACTTCAGTCGCCCGCAATAAACATAGTCCGAGTTGTCGAGATTGGCAAGCTTCACTGACTCCGGGGCGGGCCGGCAGAAGAGATGTACAGAGAAGGGCTGCCCCTTGTCGGCTTCACCGTTGTACTTGGAGAACTTGACGAGTTTCGGGATGATCGGAGCTTCAGGCTTGGTCTTCTCACTCAGGTAGTAAGTGACTTGCATCCTGCTGTCCATGTCGATGAAGGTGTTTGCATAGCTGTTCCCGTAGGCGATGTTCATCATCAGGAAGATGGCGTTCTTCCATTCTTGCACTCCTACATACTTGCTGAACTTGGGTCGACATTTCGGGCTCACGAATTCCATCACTCCAGCCTTCACATGTCCCCCCGGAACTCTCCGGCCGACCACGGGCTCTAGCAAGTGAAGGTCAGCATGGAGATTCCTCGAAGAGTCCGAGGAGGCAGGTTTCCTGTCCTCAACGATCGACGGCGTCACCTCCTTCACGTCGTCATCATGTTCATCGCCTCCGTTCTCTCTTTTCACGTAGACAGCTCTCTTGCCCGTTGACCTCTGTCTCTTGTGATCTGTTGCCAGTTCATCATCGCTGACGTCACCCCTGAAGGTCCCTTCCTTCCAGTCATCAGGCAGGCTCACAAGTTCCCCTCGGGTCCTGAGCCTTGTAGAACGTCTTAGAGGCTCCATATCCCAGTCTTCCTCTCGCTTCAACTTCTTCTTCGCGGGCAGCCTCTTGTTCCCCGCCTCGGTCGTAGACTCGCCTGAGAGATCGCAATGTCCTCCTCCTTCAGCCACAGACGAACTCTTCTTCTCCCTCCTCCTGCTCTGGAGAGGATCGAGAGGGATCATGTTGTCCTCTATCCCCAAGCTCATCATGATCTTCTTATTCTCCGCCATCCTCGCCATCCTCTCCTCCTCATACGCGCTCACCACCATGCTGCCTTGCTCCACCACCACCCTACCCCACCCAACTCCCACATGTCACCACCCACTTTTCTATTACTTTATTACTCCAAAAACCTTTTAGGCGGTAACCCCCCACCTCACGTCGTATTCATCCACCCCTTGATAATTATGTTGGACCCCTCCATAAGATGCATTACCCCTTCAATATATATTCTTAACCCACCCCTTTTCCCTCACATGAATGCGTTAGATCACCCCCTATTGTTGCTTTTCAGGATCGCACCCCTCCATTGCATACCCCCACCCTCACTTGGACAGAACAATGACCAGCAATAATGAAGAACGAAGAATATGGCGCTGGGAGAGGAGAGGGAAGAGGACGGGAGGGGAGGGGAGGGGAGAGGACGGGAGAGGGAGGGAGGTGACAGGAGAATGGGAGATTCAGAGGCGATCAGATGTGATGAGAGGAGAGAAGCGTAGAAGTATGGAGGAGAGTTAGGAAGAAAGGAGATGAACCTAAGTCAGATGCAGGTGTGCCTGCTCTTCAAAACTTTTCCTAGAGTTAGTCTCTTGAGTCTGAAGATTCCGCCAAATCTACACCTTCTTCATGCAGCTTCATTTCTCTTGACCCTCTTTCTTCAATGCCCCTCTAGTTTCCTCCAGGAATCCCTCAAATGCCATCTCTGCCTCCACCTCCATGTCCAACGCCGATGTCATTGTTCTCCCTTCCCACTCTTGCTCCTTCCTTAGAGATTCATGCAATCGCTCCATTCTGCGCAATCGCTCCATTCTGTGCATCGTCCTGACTGCTCTCCTCTCAGATTCGCGTTTCAGCGAAGAGGTTGTTGAACCTCTGCGCCATCAACTTGGTCCTCCTTAGAAACTCCCGCGCAAACCCCATGGCAGGTCCTACCGTTCACCAGGGGCCCCACTGCGGCCATGGCTCGCTGGCCGATCCTCACTGGCACTGCAAGTTCTTCAGCATCTGGAAGTCAAGGGAGAAGCTGACTCCTTTCCACTTTCAAGTGCCTCCCTCCTACAACTTCTCTCTTCCCACCTGCAGCAACTATCACCTGGATAGCCACGAGGTCTGGGGCCCCTTCAGCGACATCCGGAGCACGCGGGACTTTGAATGGCACGGGAACTACGTGGAGTCCAGGCAGCTGCTGCAGGACATTTTGATCCACGACGTGATAGGAGGGGGCACGCCCAACCGGCAGCACCCCTGGATAGTCTACACGGCAGGGGCGATGGGAGCTGGTAAGAGTAGGACGATTCACTGGATGTCGGAGCAGGGGCTGTTCCCGCTCCCCGACATCGTCCAGATAGATCCGGACTCCTTCCGGGAGCGCCTGCCGGAATGGCAGGGGTACATCGAGCGTGACCCGAGCATGGCGGGGCGGCTAACGCACAAGGAGTGCGGGCTGTGTGTGGAGATTGCACAGGAGGCAGCGCTGCGGCAAAGGAAGCACATCTGGGTGGACGGGAGCCTGAGGGATGCGGAGTGGTACACGAGAGTGTTCAACGATATCAAGAAGAGACACCCTGAGTACCGCATCGCCATCCTGTACGTGTATGCCTCCATGGGCTCGGTGCTGGAGAGGGCGAAGCTGAGGGGGAGGCTGACGGGGAGGGTCGTGCCTGAGAAGGACATCCTTGACTCTCTGCGGAGGGTCCCGCTAGCTGTGGAGCAGCTAGCGTCGGAGGTGGACTTCCTTGCATGGATCTCCAACGAGTCCGACCAGGAGCCGAAGCTGCGCCAGATCTGTAACGATCATATGTGCAAGTTCCTCAACGGAGACGACTGGGACGAGGTCGTCTCGCGCTTCGGCCACTTGCACAGTGAGATGGACAGGGAGGAGATCTGTCGCCAGCTGGACCGCCACCTGGGCGGATCCTCGTCGAGGGAGGACGCGCTCATGGTGAGCATGCTGCCGGTGTGCTGGTAGTCGAGCTGCTGACTCCTCCTCCTCTTCCTCCCTCTCGCCATCTTCCTCCTTCGTCTCCTCCTTTTCCTCCTCCTCGCCCTCCTGGCTCCTCCTCCTCGTCCTCCTCCAGATTTTCAGCAAGTCCTACTGCAGCTTCTGTATCAAGCTGAAACGGGCGCTGAAGATGGCAAACATTCCCTTCAAGTGCATAGAGTGCGACGAGGTGAGTTGGAGCAAGGAGGAGAGCAGATGGTGTTGACGTTGTTGATGTTGATGTTGATGATGTTAACGTTGATGGCCGTTAGGTGGAGGACGGTCTGAGAATGCAGGTGGTTATCGCGCAAACAACAGGTGGTGCAGATGAGGAGGGGCGAGTGTACGAGGGGCGTGGCAGGCAGAGAAGTAGAGAGGGGAAGGTCAAGATTTCTGGTAGTGATTGAGGAGGAAGGCAGAGAAGGAGGAGGAGGAGGAGGAGGAGAGAGATTTTGGGGGATGGGAGGAGGAGGAGGAGGAGGAGAGAGATTTTGGGGGTTGGGAAGCGGCGGCGGCGGCGGCGGCGGCGGCGGCGGCGGAGGAGGAGGAGGAGGAGGAGGAGGAGGAGGAGGAGGAGGAGGAATTGTACGATGATGATTTGTCTCAGGGCATCGAACAAGCCCGCAAGTGTTTGTGAAAGGAAGATTCATCGGCGGGTGGGTGGGTGCAGGAGGAGATGCTAGCTGACATGTCGGCAGGTGCGACGAGACGCTGGCACTGCTGCACAGCGGCGAACTTGAACTGATGCTTGAAGATGAACGATGGCATGCGTGGAGATCGAGATGAAGGTGGGGAGGGAGAAGAGGAGGAACGAGTTGAGGGACGGCTGGACGGGGAGGAGCTGGAGGAAGGTGAGAAGGTATGGCGACAGGAGTTGGAGAGGAGGGGAGGACGAGGAGAGGAAAGGTGGAGGGAAAGGTTGTTAGTTCAAGTAGAAGTTTTAAGTAACATATCTAACAAGGAAAGAAACTTGTTGTATGCACTGATGACCCGCCATCATCTAGCAACCGCTCGTGTTCTGCCACCACCACCCTCTCCTCCTCCTCCCTCTCCTCTCCTCCTCCTCCCTCTCCTCTCCTCCTCCTCGCCTACTTTTGTTTGGTTCGAATGATCTGCTGGCCCTTGTAAGGCCCGTCCTCCACCTGCGCCAACTTTAGCAAGTAGCGAGCCGGCCCTGCTCTCATCCTCGCTTCACTCTCCTCCTCTACTCTCCTCCTTCACTCTTCTCTCATCTCCTCTTCTCTCTTCCTCCATTCTTCATTCCACCTGTCCCCTCAGTCTCCCGCCCCGCTTCCCTTTCCCACATCCTGTTGCTCTCCTTTCTTTGTCCTCCGACTCAAACACGACATTCAACCATACTCCTCGACCTCAAATCTCACAATTCCTTCCTCCCCTCCTCCCCTCTTCCTCCATCTCTCATACTCACCACTTTCTGCGTCTTGAGACAAACTTTCTTCACAATGTTCATGAAGCGTTGCTGCAGCTTGGATGTCAGCTGGGGTGAAAGGGAAAATTCAGCTGGGACCTGATCCTCTCTTGACATGCCCTTGACATCGTATACCGCGATCTGAGAGAGAAAAACATGAGGGAGGAGGTTAGAAGAAGGGGAGGGGGGGGGACGAGTGTGAGCAGAGAGGGAGAGGGAGAGGACAAAGAGAGGACAGGGAGAGGGAGAGGGAGAGGGAGAGGGAGAGGGAGAGGGAGAGGGAGAGGGAGAGGGAGAGGGAGAGGGAGAGGGAGAGGGAGAGGGAGAGGGAGAGGGAGAGAGCAAATCAGGTGGGGGAGAGCTGAGCAGCGAGAAGAAGAAGCAGGGAGAGGAGGCCACAAGTTTCTTAGTCGTCATGGTCGTATCCTTGTCGATCGTCTCTCGGATCTGACAAGGGGAAAGGGGTCAGTGACGTCAGCAACAATGAGTACCTTCGTAGCTCTTACCTGATCCTCTGTGTACTTGAACGCCCCTCCTCCACCTGCAGCAGCAGCTGCTGCTGCAGGAGCTGCTGCAGGAGCAGATGAGGCAGCGGCGGCGGCGACCTTCGGCCTGAGGAGCGGTGAGCTGCAGGCAAGACGAGGAGGCGACTGACCTTTTGGCTCCGGCAGCCGCGTCCGAGTCGGGAGCGGAGGAAGCAGCGCGCTTGCCGAGGTCCTGGCGGATCTTGAGGGTCAAGCCCGTCTTCTCCGGGGCCTTCTCCTTGTCTTTCTGCAGGGGGGCGGGTCGGAGGAGGACAAGAGAGGAGGAGAGCTCACGTTAGCATCAGCCTCCTTCTTGATCTTTATCACTCCCTCGTTCGCCTGTTGAGAGAGAAGGAAACAAAGTCAGGAAGATCGGTGAAGAAGAGGATTGAGAATAAGTTGTAAGGGGTAGGAGGGCCAAGAGGAGCACGAGCAGGTTAGGGTGCACGAGTACAAGCAGGAGGAGGAAGACATCACCTTCTGCTTGGTTGGTTTTGGAGGAGGCGTAGAGTCTGCCTTGTTGCTCTCCGCCTTCGTTTCTTCCGGCTCCGCGTCCTGTCATGTCCTGTCAAGCATCGCAGAGTTTAGCGGCTGCTCGTTTCATCTCTGACCATTTTCTTTCCCTTCAGCAAGCCATCCATCCTCTTCCCAGTGTCATCCTGTCAAGGGCAAGGTCATCAAGTCGAGCCACCTCCTCCTCGTCCTCCTCCTCCCTCCTCCCTCGTACCAACTCGTTCTCCTCCTCTTCCTCCGACTCGTCGCTGAGCTGCTTCACAAGCTCATCCAGTACATCCTCATCTGCCCCAGAGTCAACATTTCAGCTGAGAAATCACCGCAAACTCAGCTGACCGGGGTCGGGCTTGAGATGATACTCGGGGTTCAACGAGAGATCGTCTCCTGTCAGCATCTGTCAGTGAAAGCTCGGCTGTATCTCAGCTGCTCGCCTGCTGCCGCCATCGCCATGTCATAGTCGTCGTCATCGATGTCTCCACATTGTCTGCCGGTCAGGGTGTCAAGTTTGACAGGCTGCTTGTCAAAGTCTCACTGGCAGTCCATGTCATCGTCGGCCTCGTGACTTTCTTCTCGCCACTGCTGCCTAAGAGCCTACGAAGAGACTGAGTTGAAGGCCGGAGGGCCGGGCCGGGCCGGCGGGATCCCAAGAGAGAGAGGAAACGACTCACGTCTTCACTGCCATAACCAGGCTCGCGCTTGATGGTCTTCTTGTTGTTGCCGTGATCTGGTCAGATGTGAGGAGGAGTAGACAGAAGCAACCACATCCTCCCTCACCTTGTCTGAAGCCTTGAACCTCCTTCGCCATCTCCGTCTGCTCCAACACGTCAAACATCCCCAACGGCCGGACGACCCTCTGGGTTCCTTGATCATCAGTCGATCCCTCAATGCGTTGCCTGTCTTGAAGAGAGATTCCACAGTTTCCTGGGGTAACCAGGGGTCCACTGGTGAAGCAGAGGAAAGGAGGGGTCAACCTTGTTTCCGCGAGAGTTCGTCTCTTTGGTTTCTGTGGAGTCCACCTTGACTCCTCTCCTTGTCGCGTCCTTTCTCACGTTCCACCTGCACTGACTTCACTCCCTCCTTCCCACCTCTTCCTCCTTCCCCTCCCGTCTCTTCCTCCCTCCCCTCTCTTCCTCCTCCCCTCTCTTCCTCCTACTCTCGTTCTTCTTTCACCAACTTGTTCCTCCTACTCTCTTCCTCCTCGGTTTCCTTCTCCTCGCCAAGAACTTCGTAACGACGTGCAGCACTCTCACCAGTCTCCGTTCACCGGCCTGACAAGGAGCTCCTTCGTCCCATCGACCGTCTCTCCTGCGGAACTTCTGACTTTCCCAGCCTCCTTCCCTCACTTTCTTCACCTCCCTCGAGCCAGAAGTAACAGTACTGCTTCTTCCCCTCCTCTTCGATCTGACAGTGCAAGTCACCTCTCGCAAACTCTTCCAACCCCGGCGCAGCCCCACCTTGTACGAGCAGGTGTTGCCATGCACCTCCACGAAGCCATTCTTCATCTCATCCTGCAAGATGTTGAGGTGAGGCGCACTGGCTGACTGCAAGGAGGTTCTCCGACCTTGAGGATCCTGATTAGGTCGTCTTCATCCTTCTTCAACTGGTCCAGAACCTTCAAGTGCTCTGACCATCGCAGGTTGAGATTAGCACAGGCAACATCGCAGACAGCAAGGACTCTACTTGTGGGCACACGGACCATGACTTCCAATGACTCGAAGCCGTCCGAGCCCTTGCCATCCTCGTTCTTCTTCCTGTAAAGAACTTTCTTCGACATCACGTCGGTGCCCGGTCCGATGAGCAAAGTCTTGCATTGTCTGTGCAAACAGCAACAATCAGACCAAACATGTGCCGCCATAGAACGTCTGAGCTACAAGTAGAGCCTTCGGAACCTCTCGTTCAGGTCCTTCCTGTCAGGCAGGTCATTACAGTCATGCGACCACTGCCATTGTCGACAGTACACGCGAATGTTGTCTGGTGTTGACCACTCCTTGGTCGGCTTCACCTCAACGCAGTTGAGTTGTGCGTTGATGATTTGGTTGAGAGAAGATCGCTGCGGAGAGATGAGCGTCTAATTGTCGAACCAGCCCAAATCACCTTATCCGCCTCCTGCCTCGCCTCGAAAGCATGTTCGAAATCCTTGTCCTCACTGTCTGCGATCATCCAGTTTCGTTTCCATTCTCTTCTCTGTAATTTTCATCCATCAGCCATGACCAGTTGAAAGTTCAGGAATCAAGTACCACTCGGTTTTCAAACAGCATCTCCGATATGAAACTCTTCTTCTTCTTCTTGTCGTCCGCAAGTTCCTGCACTGGATCTCTCCTGAACAGCCAGGCTTGACCATGCGAGCTCTCCAAGCTCTGATCAAACCAGCACATCTCAGCATCCTCATCGCGCAAGGAAGAGCATTGGCGCTGAGGGCCAGAAAGATCCGGGTACGAAAATTAAAGAGAACGAGGAAGAGGACGAGAAGGGAGAGGAGGAGGAGGAGGAGGAGGGAAAGATCGGACCTTCACATCCATCTGATGGAACTTTAAGATGTGATGTGTAGTCGTCGAGCTCTCGTCCTTCTCGTCCACCGCCGCTCCCGCCATCCGCAGCACAAACACATGCCGCGAGTCTGCCTGCATTCTTCCACCTCTAAAACCACCCCACCCCACCCATTCACCAGACCCCGCAGGTTTCCGACCAGGACGGGGATACTCCTTAATAACCCTTCTTTTCCAAGGCGAAAGTACCCCTTCAACCATCACCACCCCACCCAGAGGTGCAGGACCACACGATGGGTCTACCCACCCCTCCGTCGCTTCCATTTGTACCCCATGGGTCTGCGGGGGGAGGTGGACTGTCAGGATGGTCATGGCGGTGGGGGCCGTGATAGCGGTAGCGCTGGCGATGGCGGCGGAGGTCCAAGGGTACGCGATGACGAGAGCAGGAGGAGCGAACTTCGTATCCGGTCTCTCTACCTTCTCCTCCTCCTCCTCCCTCACTGGGCTCCCTCTCTCCTCGAGGGCGTGCCGTGCTCGGTCGGTCGGTCGGGGAGCCTTGAGTCTGAGCGCGGCCCAGCATGCGCCGGCGAAGCTGAGAAACGACCTCATGGTTCGAGTGGCTCGAGGGGAGAAGGCTGAGAAGACGCCAGTCTGGCTCTTCAGGTCTCTCATCCTCCCTTCTTCTCCCCTCCCGTCGTTTGTGACGGGTTTTGATTACAGGCAGGCAGGTAGGCATCTACCGGAGTACGAGGCGTACAAGAAGGAGACAGGGTGCAACTTCCTGCAGCTCCTGGACGATCCCAAGCATGTCGCCGAGTGTACCATGCAGGTCAGGCGACTATCATCGCACGCTTGACGCTGCTCACACCCCCTGCCCTCAGCCCATCCGACGATACAACCTGGACGCTGCCATTCTGTTCTCAGACATCCTCGTTGTTGCCGAGGCACTGGGCATCAAGGTGGAGATGCCAGGAGGAAAGGGTATCACTGTCCCTCATCCTCTCGCCTCTCCCTCAGAGGTGAAATACCCGTCCCTCCCTCCTTCGGACCTCACCGCCCAGCAGGTGTCCACCAGGATTCCTGCGTCCATCGATGTGAAAGACAAACTGTCGCACGTCATCGACGCTGTCAAACTGATCAAGAAGGAGCTCGACGGCAAAGTTCCTCTGATTGGGTTCAGCGCCGCCCCGTGGACGTTGATGTACTACATGGTCGGTGGAAGTTCCAAGAAGAACCAAGAGAACGGAGAGAGGTAGGTGGAGGAGGGAGAGGAGCAGGGGGACGGGGAAGAGACGGAGGGAGGAGGGGAGGGAGGGAGGGGAAAAGTGGAAGAAGGAGATAGGGGTCTGGATTGAGAGTGACGGGAGGTATGAAGGTGGCTGAAGGAACACCCTGTTGAGTCTCAGAAGTTGCTTGACATCTTGACGAGCACCGTCATCGACTACATGTCTGCTCAGGTCAAAAGAGGAGGCGTCGAGTGGAAGGAGAAGCTGACGTTCGACGGCTGATAGGTGGAGGCTGGAGCAGACATGCTGCAGGTGTGAGATAACGTGGAGGAGGAGGAAGAAGAGGAGGAAGTGTGGAGGAGGAGGAGGAGGAGGAGGAGAGGAAAGGGATGGGAAGGGAAGAGATGATTTGTCTATCAGGTGTTCGAGGCCATGGGCGACTTCATTAGCAGGGATAGTTTCTACAAGTACGCGATGCCCTGCATGGAGAAGATCGCCAAGGAGCTGCGTGCTCGCCATCCTGTGAGGGAGAGCTGTCGACTTGCCCCTTGCTCATGTGCTGGCAGAACGTCCCTCTTCTTGTCTTCCCGCGTGGAGCTACCTACTCCCTCGTCGATCTGCAGGTGGGAAGGGCAGGGGCAGGGCAGGGGCAGGGGCAGGGGCAGGGGCAGGGCAGGGGCAGGGGCAAGGGCGGGAGGGAGGAGGGCAGGACGACCATGATCAGTCCTGTTACTTACTTTTGGCATGCAGCAAGTAGGATACGATGTGGTCACGATGGACACAGCTTGCCCGAGGGAGGAGACGCGAACTGCCCTCAAGCTCGCAGCAGGTGCACCCTCCTTCCTCTTTCTCTGCTCCCTTCCCCCTCACCTCCTCCCTCTCTGACTTGAAGAGCAAGACAAGAACACTCCCCCCAATCTCGCTCGAGCTCCTGCTGCTCTGCAGGGGAACCTCGACGTGAAGCTCCTTGCTCGTGGGGCATCAACCAAGGAAGAGGTGAGAGCTCCTACTCTCCCGCAACGGCAGTTGACGTGAGAGCAGGTGAGGGAGGCAGCTAGGAAGCTGCTGGAGGAGCTGGGAGCCGGGGCCTTGATCGCCAACTTGGGAGAGGGGCTGACGGGGAAGGAAGACCCCGAGCTGGTGAGGAGCTGGTGGAGGTGACGATGGGTGGGAGGAGGAGTGATGGGTTGTGCGTGCAGGTTGCGACCTTCATCGACTCTATCCACGAGATCAGCGAGAAGATGCTGGCGAAGTAGACGGGCAGGGTGTCGACTTTTACTTCGATTCTTGGTGCAAGGTTGAGATTGTAACTTGTAACTCTACAAGAATGTTAAAACGAGGTCAGCACATAAGCTTCGAACGGGCCCAACAGGACACAGCTAAGGTCACGTCGAAGTTACGGTTGCAGCCGCTGTCAAACATGAAAGGACAAGACATGACCAGTCACAAAAAGATGTCAAACAAGCAGCTAGGCAGAATCTTCCACGACTCTAGAGCTGGACAATGTCATGTGCACGAGAAAGAGTCATCTCCTGCAGCGCAGACTCTTCATCCACCAGTAGCAGGAACATCACGCGGTCCTTGCGGATGGCATAGCGATGGGTCCGCGACTCCCCATTAGTCTCCAGCAGCTCCCTCAGCATGTACTGTCCCACCTCATTGACATGACACGTCACCAGGCACATCCTGCTGGACTTCCTGTTGGGGTTGTTGCAGTCGTCGATGAACTTGAAGAGCCCTCCCCTGATCTGCGACTGATGCCCGTTGACCTGCTCCTTGTCACTCTCCTTTCTCAGCTCCACACTAGTATGTGCCACGTCCTCCCCGTCCCCTGCCTGCTGGCGCAGCTGCTGGAGAAGAGCTGCCTCAAAGTCAAGCTGCTTCCCCTTCCCACCTCCCTTCACGACGATGACGCAGGGCTTCAGGAAGCCCGACGAGCACATGTCAATCAGCGCAGCGTTCTTGTACTCCCGATCCGCGTGCTCGACTATCACATCCTGCGTGTGCAGGAAGAAGAATCCATCGGACGACTTGACTGTGAACTTGACCTCCCTCCTCTCTGTCCTGCCGACCACTGCATCAGGCACCCCCTTGCTCACCCCCAGCTCCTCTCCAGCTCGGGCCTCGGAGAGGCTATCCTCCTCCTCCCCGTCTCCCACGTAAACCAGCAGTCGAACCTCCACTGCCTTCCCCTCGCTGTCGCTCGACAGGTCCCCGTCCAGTCCAGCCGCTCGCTTGCTCCCCCCGAGCTCGGCTAAGAGCTTCTCGACGCTGCTGGAGATGTGGAAGGTCAGGGTCGTCCACCACTGAAAGAGTGGACGCATGTCGAGCATGGCTGGCAGCTCGTAGCTCAACTTCATCGACACGTGCGGGATCCCGCTCCTCCTCCTCAGCCCTCGCTCCAGCATGCGCAGGCAGTGCTCCTCCTGCTTCCTCCCCGACGGGGCCACGATGACCAGCTCCTTGGAGATGGCTCGGATCGCGTCAGCTGGGGGGTAGTTGGAGGTGAAGGCATGGATCAAGTTCCCTCCGAACTTGGGATACCGGCGGATCATGACTTCAAGCATGCTGCTGACGCACTTGTAGAGATCCTCCTGCAGCTTCGGCTCCTCCGGCACCTCCTCGAGGTGCAGCACTGCGGTCCCTCCCTTGGCGATCGCCTGCTCGAGCATGCGCTCGATGCTCCAGTCGGAGATCCCTTGAACGCACAAGATCATCCGGAGGCTGTCGGGGGTGAGGCCGTTGAGAGGCACCTTAACGATGCTCACCTTCCTCTCAGGGTCAAGGAACTTGTTGAGGGTTGACTGCAGGGAGACGGAGAGCGCCTGGACCAGCGTCGACTTGCCAGTCCCGGCGCTGCCGCAGAGGAAGAGAGACATCGCCTCCTGCTGGGAGGGCAAGAAGCCAGAGCTCTGGTCAGAGATCCCAGAGGAGAGGTAAGAGGAGAGGATCTCCCCCAGCTGGACTCTCAGCTCGGAGCTGCTGACGTAGGGGAAGCTGTCCATGGTCAACCAGAAGTGCTCCATCATCTCCTCTATCAGCTTCGTCTTAGCGTTGAGCAGGATCTCAGCGAAGGAGCAGGAGGTGTCCTCCCTCAGCCTCGCATGCGTCTCGTTGTCAGACCATCCAGACAGATCGTAGTAGCAGGGGGCGTAGGAGTAAACCCTTCTCACCTTCCCCACTGAAAGCTCCTGGTAACTCCCCACCACGATCTTGATCGTCCTGCTTCTCCCGCAGACCTTCCTCTGGGAGATCCCGACGTTGGTCTTGTGTGCAAACACCTCAAGGCAGAGATTCGCCAGGTTGGAGGACTTGCGGGCCCCCAGCACGCAGGACACTGCCTCGTCATGCTGCCGCTGCAGGAAGGCCTCCTCCAGAGCATTTTGATTCGGCATCAGCCCGAGCATGGTCAGCACCAGGACGCTGAGCCTACTCCTCTCCGCGACATCCTCGCAGAACACAGGGCACGTGAACGAGAGCTCTCCTGATCCCACGTTGAACCCCAGCGAAGGGCGGAGTCCTGCCTCCTGGAGTACACCAGAGAGCTCCTTGACTGCCGGGAGGAATTTCACCTTCTGAAGGGAGTTGGCGCTCGAGACGACAGAGAGGTCCATACTCTTGAGGAGAGTCTCGTCTGAGATCGCCAGCAACAACAACTGGAAGTCGTCGTCAGCCCCCATCTCCTGCAGAAAGCTAAGTGAGCAGCGCGTCCAAGATGTTCACTTTGCCGACCAATTCAATCCTCTCCCCCTCACTCACTCACTCACTCACTCACTCACTCACTCACTCACTCACTCACTCACTCCCCAAACTTCCTCCCACCATCCATCCATCCATCTCCCTTCATCCCTTCATCCCTTCATCCCTTCATCCCTTCATCCCTTCATCCCTCCTCTCCTGTCCTCCCCTCTCCTCCCCTCCCCTGCTCTCCCCTCCCCTCCCCTCCTGTCCTCTCCTTCTTCATTCCATCTCCTGCTTGTCATCATCTCGTACACATCTTCCCTAAGTGGAGAGGTTTGCGTAATCAGTAGTGACTGTGGTCCAGGTCAACGCGAGCATGGAGCTTGAGAGATATCTTTCCGGACACACCAGCAGAGAGTAGGTCGACGAGGTCTAATTAAAATGTTCAACATGAAAACAACCCTGTGTTCGCAAATTGTCTGCGTTGGATATATATATTGAGGAACTCCTGCTGTCATCGCCCTCGTAGCAAAGTGGTTAATGCGTTCGCCTTGTAAGCGAAAGGTCGCCAGTTCGACTCTGGTCGTGGGCAATGGATTCTTTGTAGAATCCACCATGAGAATTCTTTTTGACCGCGAGTGCCGGAGGTTTCAATGCCTCCTTGAGTGAGGGGGTGAAGCTAGTAAGCAGAACTTGCTGCCGTAAGGGTCTCGCCGAGGTGAGCTCAGTATAAGGAGACAACATACCACCACCCTACCATATGATTTTCCCCTGACACTCGGAGATTCACTGGGGTCCGCTAGAGCCGCATACCATACTGCACGCCATGCGCCGCTGCATATCCTCAGGAGGTCATGAGGAATCCGAGCGCAGAGGGGTGGATCGAGTGAGCCTCGCGGCACCTTCACCGTTTTCCTTTCATATCCTCATGTCCATATCTTTGATCTCTTCCTTTCTTTTGTATACGACTCCGGTCCTGACAGTCAGTGCAATTCTTTTTCCACGATGTCCCTGGTGGACTGAG